CCCCCTGTACTGGCACCCCCTTCCCGCACCCCCTTCTTGGCACCTCCTTTCCCCACTTCCACCCCCTTTCCTGTCTGTCTCTCTCCTCTCTGGGCTCCTTTTCCTGCCTGCGTCGTTGTCCTCCCCCTCCCGGACTCCCGRGCCCCGCGGTTCCCTCCCCGGGCTCCCGCTCCCTCCTGCGCCACTTTCTCACCTCTCCTCCCGGGGCTTCCTTCTTCCCAGGACCCCTGTCCTGGGGGTTCCAGTTGCCCTCTGGTCACCCACTTGCCCGCAGCACTTGCTGCCCTGGGGACCTTTTTCTCCCTTGGGGACCTGCTGTCCTGGGCACCCTGTGAACCAGGTCCCTATTGGGGGCTTCATGTCCTGGGACCCCCCTTCCTCCCAGCACTCTGCACCTCCCTTGTGACTCCCCATCCCAGGGACCCTGTCCCTGCCTGGCACCCTCTATCATAGTGCATGTGTGGGACCTGTCCCCTCTGTCCCCCAGTTATCCTAGAGACCTCCCACCCAGAGGTGCTGGATGCACAGAGCCAKCCCTGGGACATTCACCTGCCCCAGCAGCCCCTGTCCAGGGGTGTCACCACCTCGGGGGCTGTGCCCCACGTGTCCCCCCCTACACCAAACAGCAGTGCCAGCCGTGGGCCGGTCACATCCTGCCGAGCGGCTCYGCTGGCTTTCGCTCCCTGGGCACTTCGCCAGCTCACAGGCAGCAGAGAGGCCCCCAACTCGAGGCTGCCGCCTCGGCGGCCTCCCCGTGGGGCAATGAGCCCTGTGCCAGCCCTGTGCCAGCCCCTGTGCCAAGCGCTGCAGGGTCATCCCCCCAGGGAACCGTCCTGCTGGCTCCGGCAGTGGGAATAAAGCAGTCGTGGCTGCCTGGGCTGGGATTTACTGTCAAGGAAACGGGGAAGAGTTGTGGAGCTGGGATTTCACTCTTGCAAATTGATTCCAGATGTGTCAGCATCGCGGGTGGGGGCTCGGGGTGCAGCACGGTGGTGATGGAAGCAGTGGTGGGTGCCGGGGACACCCTGCTCCGCGTGTCCCCGGCTGCACCGGCGCGTTGTGCCAGCCGCGTTCGGAGGCCTGTGCAGTTGCAGGGAGGCTTTTGCTCCCACTTGTTTGGGAGGAGGTTGGAGCCGCGGCTTTCTCCTCAGCTCGCCCCCCCTTTGTGTGAGGACAAAGCGCTCCTTGTCCCCCCCTCGCAGTGCTTCCTTTTTCTGCTTTCGCTTTTATGCATTTATCGTCTCCATAAAGATCCCTTTTCGCTTCCCCGGAGCCGCTGTATCGCTCCGGAGCGGTTTCCCGGTGCAGGGCACGGAGGGGGGGCCTCGCGGCTGCCCTGCTGCGAGCGAAACCGGCATCTTCCTCCGCGACAACCGGGCTCTGCYGCCCATCAGCCCACGGCCTGAGGACACCGGGACAAATCCCAGCAGCAGAATCAGAGCGAAAGCGCGAGCCCTTGGCTCCGGAGCATGGCCACAGGCAAGGGGCCTGGGCTGGCCCTTGTGGCCTGCTTTTGCCCTCTGGGAAGAGCTGAGGTCCCTGCCTCTCTCCAGACCTTGTCCTTTCCTGCATGGACAYGGTGGTGATGGATTTAATGCAGTGCAATGGCCCCAGCCTGTGGAGCCCGTTGGAAAGAGCCTCCAAGCTCAGGGTGTTYGGGTGCGGGTTTGGTGCCAGGTGGTGCTGTGATGGGCACGTGCTCATGGGGTGCCCAGGACAGCTGGGCTTGTGCCATGGGAATTGTGTCCTTGGAGGAGCCAGGTTGGATGCTGCAGCTGGGCCCAGGTGGTTCMTGTGGGATAGGTAAATGTGGGGTTTCCATCCGGGCAGGGATCTGCATGGGATGGCAGYGGAGCTGGAGGATTCCTGCGCCGTAAGGCGGCATCGCCCCGGGTGCATCCCCGGGTCTGTGGGGTGGCCCTGCTCGAACACGGCCSATGTGGGGGGCTCCAAGTCTGGGCTGAGCCGCTGGTGGGGCCAAGTGGTCAACCTGGAGCTGTGAGTGTGTTGTGCTGGAAAGGGGGCCTAGGGGGACAAACCAGCCCCCAATCCTTGGCTTGTAGGCCGTTATTTCAAAATTGCAACTGTTTGGAGCATGTGGTGTGGAGGGTCTCTGACCTGCTCTCTGCCCCTTTTGAATCTGCGGCTTCCATTCAGGCTGAACACGCGGGTGCTGTTATCGGACAGGTTATCAGCGGCCCTACAACCCTCGTCGCCTCTCCTTGTCATTAGTGCGGGAGCACCGCACGGCTCCGGCGATGCCGCGCTCTGCCATCCAGGACAGCCCTGGCCGCATCCATGGGCTCTTCTTTCCTTGTCTTATTTCCTCCTTTTCGTGCTCTGTTGCGCTGGAGCAAAGCGGCAGCCGGGACACGGGGTCATGGAGCGACACGCTGGCTCCGGAGGCAGCGATAAAAGCCGGGGCTTTCCAAGGGTGCGGAGCTGGAGCTGCTCCCGGGGACAGCGCACGGGGGGACTGCAGCTCCCATTCCCTGCACGTTCCCAGGGCTGCTCCCGCTTCTCCTGTGCTCCAGGCCCGCAAAGCAGCCCCCCAGTTGCCGTTATGTCCATCTGTCCTGGCTGCATCCAAGGTGTTGGTCCCTTCTGTGGCTTCAGGATGGGCACAGTGGGATGCACAGAGTGGGACCACATCCCGCCCTGGGCTCCTTTCCTGGAAATCCCTTCATAAAAAAGTCCAGGGGGGATTTTTTAGTGGATTTGCACTTGATAAAGGGAAAAGAAAACGGGAAATGGGAGCCTGGAGCTGGGGCGGGAAGATCCGCCGGTGCGCTCGCCGCGCGCGGGCCGGGTTTCCTGCTGGCTCCCGCTCTGCCGCCGCTTTCGTTTTCGGCTCGTGGGCCCCGCGCTCTGCGGCCGAGTGCCGGCCCCGCTCGGCTGGCGCAGATAAAAGGGGCTCCCAAAACACGGGGCGCGCGGCGGGAGGAGCCGTGTCCCGCGCAGCGGCTGCTCCGGGCGGCCGGCTCCCCAGCTCCAATTCCAATAACTGCTGCAGCCATTCAGTATTTTTTTTTTCCCTTTTTTTGGTGCTATTTTGCATGTTTGCTTCAGGAGCCCCTTTGCATGCTGSCTTTGCAGCCCGTGTGCCCTGTCCGTCCCTCCCATCACGCCGTGTCCCGGCCCCCTTCTCCAGCACCACTCACTTGGCCGGGCAGCACTGCTCAGGGAAGCATTTAATTAAATCCCTCGGGATTTAATCCTCRTGCGAGCCCGGGCCTGTCCCATCAAAGCGCGCCGGCAGCTGGCTCTCCTGCAGGGAAGTGGCGCTGGAGCAGCGGGAAGCTCGTGGTTCCAGTGCTCTTGCTAAGGCAGCATCCAAAACCATCCCGAAAACCACAGGGGTGGCAGCGGCTCCCAGCTCTCCTGCAGGTGTGCGCGGCCCACGCTCCGGATAATATTCCCTGTGCTCCTCTTGGGAGCTTGCTTCCCGCTGGAAAGCTCTGGGTGGCCGAAGGGAGGGAGGCCGGAGCGCGGCGAGCGCCGGCTCCGCTTGCCGTGGATAAGCTGCGTCCGGCAGCGCTTGGGCTGCTGCGCGGCTCGCCTGGCTGCGCACTGGCGCTCCCACGGGGATCGGCAGGGCGTCCAAGGCACTTGGAAGGAATCCCGGCCTGGAAGCAGCTGCCGGCTGCGGTTCGGCAGAATAATGTGTCCGAAAGGGAGGCTGGGCCCCGTGCCCGGCGGCCAGGCCCGCTGGCTGCAGCGCTCCCTTGGAAGCTGCTCGCTCTGGGTCCCGGCCAGGCGGGAGGATGGGATCCTGGTGGGAGCCGCCGCTTGCTGGGACGGAACAGGGGGCTGCTCCAACGATGGGGCCAATTCCGGCCGCTCCCGCSTTGCTCCTGCTTCCGAGGTCAAAAAAACACCAGCGTCGAACAGGCTGCAGTGCCAAAACCTTCCCGGCCACATCCTGGTGCTTCCAGCGAGCCCCTTGCGCGGGGCCGGATCCCGGGCGCAGCGGAGCAAGCGCCTTTCCAGCGTCGGGGAGGCCGCCTGGAGCCCCTTGCCGTCCCYGCTGCTCCTTTGGGACCTTTCCCGGCGTGTCCGCTTCCCGCAGGAACGTCATCCCACGGTGCTGCCGGCCCGGCGGAGCCGGAGCGCACGCAGGGTGCTGAGTCACGGGCGGGCTGGCGGTGCTGATAGACACCGGGGGGGCTGCGGGGGGGGCCCGCGCCGGGCCCAGGGATAACATCTCCCGTCGAGAAGCTTCTGCGGGCGCAGCAGGAAGCCCGGCGCCCATAGAGAGCCGGCTTCCCCGCGGGGCCGGCGCCTCGCGGCCTCGGGTGCCAAATCTCCTCGCTCGCCTCCTCCCGCGCCCGGGATTTTTTCTGTTATTTGTAATTATTATTTCTATTCCTTTCCCTCCCCACCCCCCAAAGCGTTCGCTCGCTGCTCCCGCGCGGGGCCGCGCGCCCGGGGAGGCCGCGGCGGGATCCGGCCCGGGAAGGATGTTTCCTGCCCGCGCAGCGTGCGCGGAGTCGATAAAGGCTGCGCGCGGGCGCAAGGTAGGGCGGTAAACAGGGGCTGCGCCGCCGTATTCCCGGCCTTCCCCAGCCCCGCGCCTCAGGAAGCTGCCAGCGGAGTGCCAGGCTCGTCCCCTCTGTGCGCTTCCCGCTGCCTTGGGATGCTCTGGTGTTCCCTGGACGCGGCGTCTGCTTCCCGCTGCAGCTGGAGCTGCTACTCCATGAGCCCCTTTGAGACCGGCCGCTCTGCCTGGCGCACTCCTGTGCTGCGGATGTTGGTCACACACATGTGTGTGTCCCCTCCGTGTCCCCTCCAGGCTCTATCAGCTCCACTTAGGAGCCCTGGGAGGAGAAGCTGCGCGCTGCTGAGCCCCGGCCAAGGGAAAGCGGATGCAGCCGGGCCGGCGCTCCCGCGGGAGCCGCGGGCGGCTGTGCCAGCAGGAACAGGAAGCCCCGCGGCCGCTGGAGCTGCCGCCCCGGCCACCCCGTGGGAGAACAGGGCACGGGGAGCAGGGTGTTTGGAGCATGGGGTGAGGATGCTCRGAGCGGGAACCTGCGCCGTGTTCCTGGTGCCAGGCTGCTTGCTGGCTGTTGGGATGCAGCYGGCACCAGCATCCTGCAGGCATCAGCATCCCGCTGCTCCATGGGGCAGGGAAGGAGCTGGAGCGGGAGCAAAAGGCTGCAGGGATCCCCCAGGGAGGGGGATTAGCACCTTGGGCACTGCAGGGTGGGATCCGGGGGCAGCAGGCCGGGGCCGGTGGGTGCTCATGGGTGCTGACGGTGCCGGGGCGCTGGGTGTCTTGCAGCAGCGGCGCCGAGCGTGTGCCATGAACGGGCAGCCCGTGCCGGCGGCGCATCCCCGGGGCTGGAGCGAGTTCTGCGAGCTGCACGCCATCAGCACCGCCAAGGAGCTGGCGCGCCACTACGTGCGCTTCGCCCGCGAGCACCCGCCGTGCGAGCCGCTGGCCGCCGAGAGCTTCTCGCTGCACTTCGCGGCGCTCTTCCAGCACTACTTCTGCCACGAGGTGAAGGAGGGCGGCGCGCAGCCCCGCGGCCCCGCGCCCGCCCGTGACTACCGCGAGGCGCCACGGCACGCGCCGGCCGGCAAGGAGGCCGAGCGCGGCGCCGATGCCGGCGGCGCCGTGCGCAAGGCGTGGAGCTCGGAGGAGCTGCCGGGCTCCGCGCGGCGGCCCTTCTCGCTGAGCCAGCTGCGGCGGAGCTGGCGCGGGCTCTTCCGSCGGCGCGCGGCGGAGCCGCTGCCCGTGGGTGCCGTGGCCGGTGCCAAGCGCCCGGGCGCCGCGCGCAAGGAGGGGCTGCTGCGCTACGGGCTGCTCGACGAGAGCTCGCTGGACAGCGGCGCCCGCTGGCAGCGCTGCCGCCTGCTGCTGCGCCGCGGCGAGGCGCCCCTCGACGACGACGACTACGTGCTGGAGCTCTTCGACCCGCCCAAGGTGAGCGGGCGCCGTGTGCGCGKGGGAAGGGATTTCCCGGCCCTTCGGAGCCTGTGCTTCCCTCTCGCTTTGCAGCGGCGCGCAGAGCTCGCTGCRGCTCGGTGCATGTGTGGGGGCAAGGTGTGCACGTGCTGCTGCTCGCTCTGCGGTGAAGGTGCGATGAGCTGACGGGCCCTGGAGCCCGTACGGGGCCATGGCACCAGCTCATGCACAGATTTATSTCACATGCTTGGAAATCTCGTGGATATTTCTCTCCCGCCTGCCCACCTGTAGCCCCGTGTGCACTGAGCACGTCCTTGCTGCACAGCGGCTACCGGCTCGCCTGAATCTCTGCGTGCTGCTTTTGCTCCTGTTCCTGAGGCCCTGCTGCCCTCCCTGCTGCGTGCTCCTGTCTGCACCAGGCAGGGAAAAACGGGGAAGCTGGGGAGATTCCCGAGCATTTTGCAAGGATTTTTTGCAGTCCTGCTCTTCCCTGTGGTGCAGCGCCGGGTGGGCGGGCGCTCGCAGCTGCACCGTGCTGGGATACCCTGGGATAGAGGGAGCTGCTTTCCATCCCCGTTGGGTTGGTTGCAGGGGGGAATCCTCCCTGCCCRGAGCACTGGCAATTGAGGGGAATGCAGAGGTGATTTAATTAGGAGCCTCTAAGGAGGCAGGTCAAAATAGGGGTAAATCCAGTGGATTTGTCTGCATTTTGTATGTACATAGTTGCATTTATTTTCCCTTGGCTCACTCTCTTTGCCTGGCTGCAGGTTTCTCCTTTTCCTTTCTGGTTGCTTGCAAAGAGACGTTTCTAGTTTTCCCTGCACTCTGGGTCTGTAGGCCGAGCACGGCCGCCAGTGCCGGGCGCATCCCGGGAGCGCGGCCCCGCCGGGATCCTTGGATGTCTGCAAGCTGGCGGCGCCCGCGCTTCCCTGCCTTTCAGCAGAGGCGCGAGGCCGGTTCTGGATCCGACTCCGGTTCTGGCTCCGGTTCTGGCTCCGGCTCCTCTCCCAAAGGAGGAGAGCGCTCGGCCAGGGGCTCCCCAGCCCCATGCGTTGTATTTCTTTACGGCCAAGCGCCGAGCCCTGTGAGCACTGGGATCTGCAGCGGAAACGTCCCCGGCCGTTTCCGCCGCCCAGCTGTTCCTGCAGGAAGGGGCAGGGAGCCGGGATTCGCAGGGAGCCGGGATTCGCAGGGAGCCGGGATTCGCAGGGAGCCGGGATTCGCAGGGAGGCTGCATTGGAGCCCGTGGCCTCGCGCCCGGGGCCGGCGCCGCCGCTCGCGCCGGGGCAGGCGGAGCTTTTATCTCAGCGCTGCGACTTCCTTTTTTCTTCTTCTTCTTTTTCTTTACATATACATATTCATATTCATATATATATATATGTATAATTTTTTCCCCTTTCCTTTCACCTGAAGCGCGTTTCCGAGAAGCGCAGCTCGGAGCATGTGGCCGCGGGGCCGGCGGGCGCCTTTCTTCGATGGCACCGGGGCCGGCACCGCCCGGGCTGCTCCAGATTTCGGCGCTGATTTTCTATTTTTTTTTTCCTCTCTCTTTTTTTTCTTTTTTTTCTTTTTTTTCTTTGGTGTTTCAGGGCAGGCAGCGCCGGGGAGGGGGAGGGCAAGGAGACAAAAGGTTATTTTTCATTTATTAACCGCAACTTTTTCCATCCTTGGTCATGCACGGAAAAAACACTTTTCGCAGCCTAACCGCAGCCCCGGCGCGAATTGCTGAAGAGCAGAGGGAAGCGCCGAGCCCGGACGGGCACACAGCTCGCGGCCGGCTCCGGCTCTTCCCACGGGAGCCGGGGTCCTTCCATACCCGGAATTTCTGTAGCTTCTCGCTTGGGCTTCCCCTGGCTCTTCCGCACGGGGCTTGCCACCCAGGCACATCCCTCCCATTTATTTATCCATTTGTTATCTGTTTATTTATCCACTTATAGACGAAAGGGCCCCTCCTGCAGCAAAGCGAGGAGGAAACCAGACTTAGGGGGGAAGGGGGTGGCTGCCGCAGGGCTGGGAGCCACGGGAAGCCGCCACCGCCGGCGGGTTTGGGCTTGTCTTTTTGCCTGTTTTTTTTTTTTTTTTTTTTTTTTTTTTTTTTTTTTTTTTTTTTTTTTTTTTTTTTTTTTTTTTTTTTTTTTTTTTTTTTTCCTGTTCTGCCTCGGTCCAGGATGTGGTTGTTTCGGGGCCGAGCGCCTCGCGCGAGGGTAAATATTGAGGCGAGCGCACGGGCTGCCAGGAGGGCTCCCGGGCCGGAGCCGCTCGGAGCGGCCGGAGCGCCCCCGGCACCCGAGCCCCCAAACACCCCCGTTGTGCAGGGACGTTCCCTGACACTGAGCGTGGAGAGGGGGGCCCGGAGCCCCCGTTTTCCACCCGGGAGCAGCCCCGGCRGGTCGGGGGCACCTCAGGGTGACTCCGCTCGCTTGCCGCAGCCTTGTTTACTTTCCCTGCTCTTTATTTATTCCCGGAAATCATCAGGGCAGTCCCCGCTGGAAGCGAGCCCGGCTGGGATTGAAGCAGCGGGTGAACCCGCCTGCTCGGAGCCCYGGCCTTGGAGCCGTCTCTTGGGACACGAAACCCAAGTGGGGTCACGGGGAGCCCCAATGCCCCAKGAGGGGCCAGCACTCAAATTCCCAGGAATTGGGTGGGTTTGGCTCCGTATTTGGGGCTGGAGCATCCCATCCTGCTTGCTGTGTCCCTGCTCGCTGTCCCCGGAGCACTGGGCGCCCCGGGGGCTGTGTTTTTCTTCCTGCTTTTAAATGCGTTTATTTAGCGCGCAGCAGCCGGTGGTGCCGCGGACAGAGGGGCTTTGTGCCCCGCGTCCACAATCCCCCCTTCAGAGCCGCACAAGGGCACCCGTTGTGGCCGCTGAGCCCGTTCCCACCGGAGCCCGGCAGCTTTCCCTGCGCCAGGGCCGCTTTCCTCCCCGGTGGCACCGTTACCGCGGCCTGCGGGAGCCGAGGGTGTAGGAAGGCAGGAAACCTCCATCCCATGCCCTCACCTAAGCCGAGGTATAAGCCTAGGGGAGACACTCAGTCTTGCCATCATTAGGTTTCAGAGTGAACAGAGCCCATGTGCAGCAAGAGAGGCCGGAGTCCTGCACGGAGGGCACGAAGGTGGCGGATGCCCCGTGGGCCCCTCCTCAGCCTGGGAATCCCATGGAAATCCCTGTCCCACCAAGGGCTGGGAAGCCGGGGCCAGGGAGGAAGAGGCTCTGGGGACGGATGAATTCAAGGAAGAGAGGGGAGGCGCGTCCAGCCGCGCTGGGGCTGTGCGGCTCGGAGGGGAGGCCGCGATGAAGGAGGCTGCAAGGAGGCTGCCGAGGGGCCGCAACACGACAGAGCCCCGGGTTGTCCCGTGCCCATTCCCGTGCATTCCCGGCAAGCTTTTCCACCTTCCTGCATGGCCAGCCAGCCCCTGCACGACTCGTGGGCAAAGGRAACTCCCCTGTGCTCCTTCCCAGGCTGCTTCCGCTGCATCAATCCCTGCTTTCAATCCGTGGATSCTGCTGTTCGGTCACCCGGAGCGCATGGCTGCGCTGAGGTTGCTTCGTGCGCGCTCGGCATTACCGAGAACTCCCTTTCTGAGCAGCGAGGCCAGGAGGCTGCGGCGGCGCCTTCCGCACGCCCCGGCTCCCTATCTCGCCGCTGCATCGCTTCCTTGGCGCCCCGGCAGCGCCGCCGCCRAGCCTGGGCAGCTCCGGCCGCTTCGGCAAAGCCCCTGCTTTTCCTGGAATTCCCTGCCCCCTTCCACTCGCTCCCGGGAAAGCCGGAGGCCAGGCTGTGCGGCGGGCGCGTGCTGAGCCGCCGCGGTCGCTCCGGCACGCGGCACCGGCCGCTTCCAAGAAGTCGGCTTCGGCGCAGCGCGGCGCCGATAAGGGCCACGCCGGCGCAGGCGCTTCCGGCCCCGGAGCGAGCGGGAGCGAGTGCTGCGGGCAGGCAGGRCAGACCCGGAACCCTGGGCGGTCTCCGGGAGGCTCCGAGCGCCCGTCGGGAAGCGCGGCCGGGCGGAGGGGCGCGCGGAAGCGCTGGCTCAGCGTTGTTTGGCGCCGAGCGGCCGCAGGATACACGTGGCCACGTCCTGCCCGCCCGCTCCACGTGGCGCTCCCGGCGACCTGCGAATGAAGCCGCAGGACCTGGCTGGTGCCGGGGAGCGCCGGGGCCGCGTCCACGCTCAGCCGCCGCGCGTCCCCTCTCCGCAGGCGTCCAAGGCCAAGCTGCGCGCCGCCTGCTCGGCCGTGCGCGAGGTGCGCCGCTGCACGCGCCTCGAGATGCCCGACAACCTGCACACCTTCGTCCTCAAGGTAGGCGCCGCRGAGCCGCGAATCGCGTGGGAACTGCGGCTGGAGCGGCTGCCGCAAACCCCGCGGCGGGTTGGGGCCGCTCCATGGGGTGGGAGCTGCGGGATGGGCGCGGATGGATGCTGTATCCCGGCCGGCAGGTGCACAACGCCACCGACGTGCTCTTCGAGGCCGGGGACGAGCAGCAGCTCTGCGCCTGGATGGCCGAGATCCGCGCGTGCGCCTGCGCCCGGCGGGGGTGAGCGCTGYGAGCGCGGGGCCCTTGTGCCGGGAGCCCCGGGGCCCTCCGTGCTGGGGGTCCTGCACCCCTGTGTGCTGGGTCCCCCTGCTCAGCTCGGCTCGTCTTTGTCCCGCTCAGGTCCGACGTGGGCGACCCGGAGCCCCTCTCCAGTCCACGCCTCGATGGAGCGTCATCCGTCGCCGCTGCGGGCAGCACTGACTCCCTGGAGCCAGGTGAGGCCGGAGGCTGCGTGCGGCGCCGCGCGGGGGCCGGGGCTGCGCAGCCGGGCGCTCACGGCCCCGTCCGCCCCAGGGCCGCCGGAGGAGGCGCCGGGCGGCCGCGCGGAGCCGYTCCTCGCCGCCTTCCCCTGGTTCCACGGCCCCATCTCGCGCGTGCGGGCGGCGCAGCTGGTGCAGCTGGGCGGCGCGCGCGGCCACGGCGTCTTCCTGGTGCGGCAGAGCGAGACGCGCCGCGGCGAGTACGTGCTCACCTTCAACTTCCAGGGACGAGCCAAGGTAGCGCCGGGGCGGCCCGCGGGCTCCCGGGGACGGCGGAGCCGTCCTCCCATCCCCGGGGCGCTGACGTGCCCCCTCATCCCGCAGCACCTGCGGCTGTCGCTGACGGAGCGGGGCCAGTGCCGCGTGCAGCACCTGCGCTTCCCCTCCGTGCTGGAGATGCTGCACCACTTCCAACGGTATCCCATCCCCCTGGAGTGCGGGGYGGCCTGCGACGTCCGCCTCGCCAGCTACGTCCTCGGCGGCCCCCCGGCGCACGGTAGGGGCGGCCGCGCGGGGCTCCGGGGAAGGGGAAGCACCGGGAGCCTCCCGCGCTTCCTCTTTCGCAAAAGGAGAAGTCGCTTCCCGCACGGGCTGCTTCCCGCTGCGGCCTCCGGCGTGTCCCTGCTGCCGCCGTCCCCCCCGGCTGCAAATGTCCCCCCGCAGCCACTCCGTGACCCTTGCAGCTACTTCTCCCTTGCAGCCAGTTCCCCTCTGCAGCCAGAACTTCCCCAGCAGCCAAGATCCCTCCTGCAGCCACTCTTTCCCATGCTGCAAATACTCCCCGCTGCTGCAAACGTCCCCCCTGCTGCAAACGTCCCCCCTGCTGCAAACATCTCCCTGCAGCCACTTTCCCGTTGCAGCCACTTTCCCGTTGCAGCCAATATTTCCCCCTGCTGACAGTATTTCCCCTTGCAGTCGGTCAGTCTTTCTCCCTACAGCCATTGTTTCCTCTGCTGCAAATATTTACGTTGCAGCCAGTATTTTGCCCTGCAGCCCCTATTATCTGCTGCTGCGAATATTTCCCCTTGCAGCCACTATTTCCTCCCCGCCCCAAGCTACTTTTCCCTTGCTGCTARTAGTGCCCCTGCAGCCCCCATTTCCCTCACTGCATTCCTGATTTCCCCCCTGCAGCTGCTTCTCCCTTGCGGCCACTTTCCCCCTGCTGCCAATATTCCCTTCCTGCTGCCAGAATTTCCCTGCTAGGTAAAATCCAGCTCTTTTTCCCAAGGATTTTTCCCCGCTTTGGCCCATTCCTTCTTGCTAACCCTCTGCCTTCTCCCACAGCTCCCGGCAGCACCGTCCCTCTCTCCCTGCCCATTCCCGGCTGGAGCTGCGACGCAGGGCCGCTCTCCGGCTGCCTCGACGAGACGGAGCCCATGGAGCCGCCGGAGCCCATGGAGCCGCCGGAGCAGATTTTCCACCTGGTGCCGCTGCCGCCGGAGCCGCCGCCGGGAATGCACGAGGGAGACGTGGAGGCGGCCGGGCCGGGCCGGGGCCGCGTCCGCGCCGTCGACAACCAGTACACGCCGCTGTGAGCGGGACCCAACCCGGCGGCACCCCGCACCACGGACTGGGACTATTTTTCTTCCTTCTGGGTAGGGATTTTATTATTTTTGCGAGGAAGGGGCTTGTTTTTCACTCCAGTACGGGTGTGCTCCCTCTGGTCGGCCTGTTAAAGGGCCTTTTTTAAAAAAACAAAAATGTATTTTTACACTGTGTTTTTGTTCTTATGGAAGCTTTCTCGTTACTGTTTACACGCGCTGCTTGCGCAGCCGCACGGACGGGCCGGAGCCGGGCAGAGGAGCCGGGCTGGGGGCTGCACCCGCCTCACCGGGGCAGGCGGGGAAAAGGCGGCAGAGAAGGATGAAAACAACCCAAAAAAAGGCCTGGGGCTCCCTGTGGCTGATGTGGGGCCCGGAGTGGCGCTTCCTCCCCGCCGGAGCTGCGTTCCTGGGCACACCAAGCTCCAGCACCTKCAAGAGTTTGGGATTTACTTTTTTAGATAAGGAGAAAAACAGCGTTTCTTGCCTTTTTTTTTTTTTTTTTTTAAAGGAAACCCAGCACTGTCGCAGTCACTCTCTGCACCAGCACTAGATACCACCCCCTCCCCACCCCATTAGCATTTCTAATTAAGAGGTGAACACTAACTTGGCCCTGGGGCCCAACACGCCCAGGTAAGCCCAACCTCTCAGCACCACAAAAAGATTCATCCCGGGGATGGAGGAATTTTTTTTTTTTCTTTTTTTTTAAATGCATGAGTCAAATGGATGTTTTGCTTTCCCTGTAAATTCTTATTTTYGAAACCGGGGGGTGATTCCTCGAGCGCCCAGCGAGTCCTGCTCTTCCTGCCCTCTTCTCAACCCTCTCTAGCTCGTAGCAGGGGCAGATTCAAAGCTATGCAAACGGGCAGGGGGACGAGGAGCAGGGCAGGGGGGTCCCCACTCCTGCACTGCCCCTCAGGCCCGCTGGGCTCAGCACGAGCCTCACGGTGCCTTGCAAATATCCCCCCAAACCAGCTGCCCCCCCCAGTTCATAAGGGGGACCCTTATAAACCGCCTCTTCTTATGCCTTTCTGGGGGTCCTGGGCACCGCCAGGGGCCTGGCAGCCAAAACTGGTGTTTCACAGCCAAAACCTGCTGTTTTGCAGCCAAAACCTGGTGTTTTGCAGCCAAAACCTACTGTTTCACAGCCAAAACCTGGTGTTTGGCAGCCAAAAACCTGCCGTGTCGGTGCACTGAGCTGTGGTGCTCAAGTGTTTTCAAGCTGCCACCGTCGCGCTCCCATTTCATGCAGCCGGTGCYGCTTTCTCCTCAGCCCTCCCTGGCAGATCCACCCGGCAGCGTCGGCTCCGGCTCTGCCCGGTCCCGCAGAGGCTCCCGGAGCAAAGTGCCTCAGAAGAGGTTTTTGCTTCCAGTTACTTGAAGGAGGAAATGCCGGCGCTCAGGGCTTGGTAACTGGGATTTCAGAGCGACTCGGGGCAGACGCGATGCCCGGYCGTGCCTTTGCTGCCAGCGGGTAGCCCAGGATGGACGAAACCTTCCTCGGGTCCGGGTCCAGACGCARGTTCCCTCCCTCGCCTCCATCTCCYRTCCAGCAAAGCTCAGGTTTGCTGCATCAGCCGCTCCCTTGCTGAGGACGGGCACCAAGGAAGCTCGTGACACGAGTGCCAAGCATCCTTCAGCCCCTCCGTCCTTCCCATCCACGGCCGCCTCATCCCAGCCCAGGAGCRGGATGGGAACAGGTCCCCTCACCGCTGACACCGTCACCTCGTGGCCTGCCGTGCTCCAGCACTGCATTAACAAGTATTGGAAGCCCCGGAATCGCCACTAACAGGCTTGGATACAGTATTCCGACTTTAACTTAAGCTGGCTCTGCCCCAASAGACCCCAACCTTTGCCAACCACCAGCACCTTTCTCACACTGTCGGCACCGGGAAGGATCAATCCCCGAGGAGCATGTTGGAGTCGGAGCRTTTTCCTTCAAAAATTCTACTTTTCACCTGCACAGAAAAGTTCTTCTTGTATAATAGGTTTTCTATGTATTGTTTCTGTATGTACTGTACATGTAACTTATTCTTGAATAATGCAATTTTACCATAATATAAAAGGAAAAAAAAAAAAGATCTGCTCTTAATAAACAGTTTCTAGAATATTTAGCCTGAGTGTCTCTTGCTGTTTTAGTAGAGCCTGGATCAACAGCTGCTAAGAGACAGAAACCGTCTAGCAGGAGGTAGATGAGCCTCGAGGACAAGCTGATCTTTGGGCAGACACTGAGACTGGGTCTTGCTCAAAGGGCTGTTTCTAAAGGTCTCATGCCCCCTGCTGCCCACCAGGATTTATAGATTTATACGAATTACTAGAGCAATAGGCTAAGGAAAGGCTAAGAAGCTACTAAAGTTACTTTCCATGCCACAATATAACTAACTGCTAATACGTGAAAACTCATATATAGAGGAGTGATGTGACTTGCCTTTCAAATGCAGCCCAATTTGAACCGTCTCTTCTTTGCCGCTGCTGCTTTCCCAGCCACTTCACTGAGCAACGCTCATCCCATTTCCTTCCTTTGCCCCGCAGCACTGCTGACTTACCCAGTTTCACCACCTGTGAGACCCCAGCCAGACCAGCGCAGGCCTAAGGCAGTGGGGAACACGTGAGAACACAAGAGCTCAGTTTAAATGTGTGCTGATGGCCAAACCCTTCCAAAGTTTCCAGCTTGAAACCTTTCCCTTATTCTTGCAGTGGTCCTGCAGGTCAAACACCAATGGAGCTTCCCTATAGAGGGGAAATAAAAAAAAAAAACCACACAAAAAAATCCCCCCAAGACCCCTTACCGCCCATAAAGAAATAAAATTAAAACACCATGATGTGCTGCAAAGGCTGCCTCTAAATAAAGTATTCCTTCCCAACGTGGATCATCTGCTGGAAAACACATTAGAGATGTTGGTAACACAAGACACAAACACTAAGCAGATCAGTTTTTAAAACTTTTTTTATTTTTTAATTTTTTTTTTAGTTTTTATTTTATATTATCTACAAAGTAAAAGTTTTCTTAACTTAAAAGTTACATCACTGTCTCACGATAGTGATCATCTCATCAAACGTGATTTATAAATAATAATTCATCAGTTTGACGATTAGATTTTTTTTTTTTTAACTGAACCTGTTTCAAGTTTAGTTAGAAGTAAAAGGGATCTCCAAGTCTTGATTTTTAGTGATAATAGCAGCAAGAATCACTCTTGTTACTTCTTTTGCTAGCTGATGAGTTCATAACTTTGAAGGGTCATTAAAAAATAAATAACTTCCAGTTTTCAGCAAGCAGAGTTGGGGCATTTGCAGGACTCAGATACAGTGCATGGAATTATGGAATAGCCCACAAGTTCCTAAATGCCTCTACTCAGTCCGAATCTCTCCCACTGCAAGATGAACTGTTAGCATTCCTAGTGGATGTTACAAGAAATCAATTTTTTTTTTTTTAAACAAAATAAAATGAAATTCTAGTTTTCTGTGCTTCCAGTTGGCAGAAGCAGTAGAAGGAGGGTATTTGGCCTATAAAAGGTATCCAGCCTTTCAGTTATTCCAGATGAGCCTTACAACTGCTGTTGGTGGTGGGCTTGTACTGTAAAAAAAAAGTTCAAATGTAAATAATAAATTGGCAAGCCACACAACAGTTCGCTAGTAAAGTGGTCACAGGACAACTACTGAGCTCAAATTCCTTTTTTTTAAAAAAAAATAAGAGAAAGAAAAAAAACAAAAAACAACCCCCTGCATACCAAGATGCCCTTTGTTTGCTTGCTTTATTTTCCTACCTAACCCCTCGGACAGCATCCTTGTTCTCCTTACACATCCCCCAAGACATAAAATCAGGCATCTAGTTCCCTACAAGAGTTCAGAGGCTGTTTGGAAAAAAAAATAAATAAATTAAAAAAAAAAAATACAGACACCTAGGTATGAATTAAATTTAACATAGACAGTCATATAGCCTCTACTTTTCCCCCAAACAAAGCTGTTGAATGTTGCTCTGAATTAAAGACGGGACTTCTAAAGCCATTTTACTTCAGCTCGCAGAAGTCTACAGCCCTACCCTTTGGGGAATATTTTCATTGCTACCTTCAAGACCAACCCCTCTGAATTTGGTAAAAGCCCAGATTATTAAAGAGGGGCCATGCAGCCCAACCCCAAGGCAGAGCCCGGGTGAAGGGAGCCCTGCAGCGCCCGGGTCTGCACCCTCATCCACCCTGGAGAACCCACCAGGCAAAGCCTTTGCTAAATTAACTCTATCTTGCACGTATGGCTGGGCCTGCACTCGGGCTGGCAACGTATAGACGCTAAACGCAGAGCCAAGCTGCTTTCTGCAGACTGCTGCCGTCCAAGGACACTTTTCAGGGCTCGTTTGGGTCTTGTTCTCCTTGTCCCCAAGATCTTGGCTGACACCCGACCTGGCTCAGTTAAGGTGCAGGTCTCCCGGGCACACACTCCTCACCTGAAGGGTGCGTCATATAGGGGAAATGTGCTGTTGTCGASACTGGAATGGGCTGTAGTGCACTTTGAGCGATGGCCGCTTGGGGACCACCGGGTGGCTGTGTCGTCATTAGCATCATTGGAGCATGGGCAGTTGGGTGAGAAGGAACCATTCCTGACTGTACATGAGCCTGCAACAAAGAGCTCTTTAGTATGGCATGGTCACAAGGAGGCACCACTCCTGGCCACATGACTATCAAGTTCTCTCCAGCTGTACCAGGAAATCTGGAGATTTTACTCCATTTTAGCTAGCTTCGCTAAAGAGTGCAAATAGGGGTTAAGTCAGTGATCTTAATGCAAAAATAATAATAATAATAATAATAATAATAATAATTAAAAAAAGGAAAAGCTCAAATTCCTACAGCTGGCTCTGAGTAACATTCTCACCTCTAACGATTTGAACAGTGGGCACTGAGGCTACCAGCATTAAAAGGTGGGAGATTAAAAACAAAACAGAACAGAAAAGGTCCAGGAACAAATCTTCAAAACATTATTGTTAGTAACAGAGATCAAAGCACTTCCTATGCAGAGACGCTTGGCGAGATATGAACTTCACACGCACCGAGTGTGGCCTCCCCTCCTCATTTATTGCTCAGTTCCACCCTTCCATGGCTGCCTGCCCTACAAACCACTCTCTCCAGTGACCTGTGTGCCCATATTATCTTTCATCTAAGCAGTTACTCCAAGAGGAGTGATTTCATCCCTTGATGTTGTTAGGTCAGCTTTGTTCTGCTTCCAGTTAAGCTCATCACATTTGGGGCCTTGTGTAATCGAAGCAATCACAGTCAAGTCTCAGGGGAAGGAGGAGATTAATCTCTACCCTGGCTGATCACCTTCTGGTAAATAAGTTCAGAATCTGGTCAGTTGGCCTCTTCAGCTCAGAAAAAAAAAAGTTTATGATTGTAGAGATTGTCAATATTTCATTAACGTCCAAGTAAGCACTGGTTTCTTAAAAGTACAAAACGTTAAGGAATTCAGGAGCTGTCAAGTGGGTCTGTCTTGGAAGAAAATGTGGTTGTTTTAAAGGGTCGATTTGTCCTTCTACCCTATCCCATTAACAGAGCACCACAGAGCACTAATTGCAGCCTCCCAGGTCTCACATGCCAGTAAAGACAAGTAGCAGGTAGCAGCTACAATTTTATTTCTTGAAGTCAAAAGGGCAGTCTTTTATTTGACTCATCACAGACATTCCTGAATTTTTTTTAATCAGACTCAAGATTAATTATTACTATCATTCAAGACAGCTTTTTAAGACAGGAACTGCAACTCAAATCTTACTCTTGCTCTAGAAAAAGTTTAAAAGATAACGCTGTGAAACAGAAATATCTTTCAGGATCAGCACCATTTTTGCTTTGATGAACCTGCTATTACAGCAGCCATAAGTATAAAGCAGCTATTCATATCACAGCTGCATTCAATATAGACACCCAGTGGGTAACAATTTCTGCTGCAGCTCCAACGCTTTGCAGACTGGGAGCTGACAGTACTTTGCAATGATTTTTAAAATACTGTTTCTCAAGTGAGATATCTAACAGCTCGAGATCCATCTGATAACCTCAGGGGAAATTCAATTGATCCCCTGTGTTAGCCTAACAAATTCCTACATGATGAGATTTCACAATGGTATTCAGCAGTTGGAAATCACACTGCTGAAAAGCTATTAAATGCTGTGATTAGTTTCCCCACAATAGAATAATTACATACATTTAAAATTTCTGTAAGAACTGTAGTTATTCCTTCATTAGAGATTTTTAGGAAACGTCTTCCTTTCACAAAGTCAGTTAGTATGATATAAATATCACGGATTATATACTGTAGTTTTCATTCTAAAAAAATTTACAGCAGAAGAGACTGCGTAAGTCAAAAATCGAGGGTAAAGCAAGCTTTGCCTGCGACTGCTAAAAAATACTGGCTAGGCAGCCCTTCTAAAACTTGTAGCTCATTTGCTTTAGCAAGGTTGGCTTGTGAAGTGCTTGACACACAAAGGAAAGCACTGGCAGCATCGTCCTTGGGCCTGGGTATTTTGTGTATACTTTTACCTCCAAGTTGACCTTRGAACCAACAGTGCTCAAGGTGCAGCACTTGACCTGCCGCTGACAAAAGAGCTTCCAGCAAGACCCTTCCCAAGGGGTCCCATGCTGGAATTCCAAGGCATCCCAAGAAGCTATGCAGCCTAGGCATTCACAGCAGTACCATCACACCAGATCACGGCAAGGGCTCGCTTAAATCTAGTATCTTGCTTCTGGCAAAAAAACAGAGCCCGAGAGGATGTGGCAAGATGCCACAACAGCAGTATATAAGTTTAGACATCCTCTCTTTACCCTCCAACAGGAGGGGAAGTTTAGACATCCTCTCTTTACCCTCCAACAGGAGGGGGAAAAAAAAAAAAAAAAAAAANAAAAAAAAAAAAAAAAAGCAGAGAAATGAAAAGCCTAACAACTAAAAAGCTAAAACTTCAACATCAGCAAAACGATTCTTAAGCAACAGTTAATTCATTTGATTAACTGAGTGTCCCAAGGACCAAAGCAAAGACTTTTGTCAGAATTCATTAAGGGACTGGACACCTATTAGGCTAACATCCCTAATTAGAGTTAGTGACAATATCCCAAACTATTGTCAACCTCTATGAGAAGGCAAAAGCCAGACACCAGGTGCTTGGCGCAAAGAGTATGTGCAGACTAATTACTTAACTGCCCACTCATTGACAAAACTCACTATATCTGTGAGATTTAGTACCACATTAGAAAACCTTTTAAACATTGCTTTATGCAGAGCTCTTGATTAATAATGTGCTTTTCTTTTCTCAGTGAGCAGACCACAACAGAGCAGCTAGGAGCAGTGGGATTCTGATCCCGAAGCAAGGATTGTGGTTAAGGTGTCCACCAAACATCAGGAATCTCCTGTTCATTAAGAACCTGACACTCACACGTTCAGGCTTTTCTTTCTGAGCAAGACCCATCTGAACACCCATCTGAATTGAATCTCATTTATTTCCCACTACACCGCTGCCCTGATACTCACTCCCTAAGCAATAACTTTTACTGAATGTACTTGTGTAAGTTTGACTAAAATACAGAGCCTAACACAGCCACCAGAACTAGCAATTCAGCCTTCCTCAACCCAGCTCTCACCTCCAAGTCTTCTCAGTGTGATCATGCAGCAAATCTGATGGGTGAACTGATTTTGACTGAAAAATAGCCTAAAATAGGGGCAAGGGGCACACATTARCAGAATCAGGTCCCCGGTCTGGTTTGCTGCATGACCAAACAGCTCTGTGAGCTGGAAGGTGGAGAAGGACAAAGAAAGGAGGGGGGAACTGGGCAGAGAGCTCAATTTCTTTCAGTAGCAGTGCTAGTTTCAGGTCTTCAATAAACTGCAGCTTTGGATGTACTGAGTGGAAGCTGAGGCCCCAGTACCTTGCAAAACTCTAGAAGAAAGGCAAATGTACAGACAGAAATCTAAAAAACATAACAGGTAATTTGTGCCGAGAGGTGACAGAATGGGAATCCCTTCAGCAGGCCCGACTGTCCTATCTTTGTGGCATTAAGACATATAGTCTTGAAGGTTGTTAAACTGTGTTTACCTGGGGGACATGGGCCATGTGTGGCGGATTGGTATATGCAGGTTGAACATGGGAGGGATGGATGGTGAAGACTGTTTGTTGTGCTGTAGGAAAACTATTTTGTGGAGACTGCGTGTTGGAGCCTGGCGTCATGGAAGGAGGGGTTGGAGCGAGACCTGCATGGTAAATCGCCGACTGCTGCTGTGGGTTTGCCAGGTGGAGTGCCTGAGCAGCCTGATGCTGATGATGCTGCAAAAAAAATAGACAAAAAAACAATAAGATGAAGGCTTCGGTCTCAAAAAGGTATATATTTTTAGACAAGCTTGCAGAATAAAAGGCTTGCAAAACTGTTCTTGATATTGACAATCTTAAATGGCAGATCCAAGTATCATCACACCTGTGGCAATGATGAAACTTTTTTTTTTTTCCCCCCCTTGCAGTAAGGAGCCATATGAAGAGAAGCCTGGAAAATCGATATATTCATTATAATGTAGGAGTCAGGTATAAGCAGGAAGGAGAACCTGCAACCCGAGGACTGGACACRCTTCCCCATTGCATTTCTGGCAGTCCATAATCCTTCCTAGCAACTAACACCTGCTAACTTGCTTAATCTACACCGTGAGCCAACTGCCTTTGACTCCTAGGCACTGCAAATGGAGAAAAATGAAATGCCATTCTACTCTCCTCCTTCTAGGGAAGGCGGAGGAAGGATCTAGACAAATCCTGTAGTAAGTCTGCCACGCAGAATTTGTTCCGACAACTCCATTCTGTGATTTTTCCTCTTAAGATCAATATATAAATGCAAAGTAAGAGACTGACACAATGCCTTGTAGGGAATGGGAGTAAAGTTTAAAAATGTTCCCTCTCGAGTTACCTGCACGGGGCTAGGAGCAGGGTGGCTTCCAGCATGTTGGCTTTGCTGCTGGCCAGTCGGTGTGGCAGAAGGCTGCGGATGCGGAGGGTGCGGATGCAGGGTAGCATTGGGGTGGGCATACTGCTGAGCAAGTGAGCCAGTGGAAACTAGGACGAAGGAGAGAAACGGTTAACAACCTGCACAGAATACACATCCAGTCATCTACTCTTGAAGATTTCACTGCATCTCCATCATACCGTACACATCTATCCCCTCCCCCTTCTAAAAATAACATTTATCTTAAAATTGCTGAGTATCTTACCTTGCTTTCATGTAGTTTGTTTTTTCAGGAAAGTATAAATAACCAGAATTAGACAGTTCATCTTCCCTAGTCTGACAACGTAACAGATATTTCTTATATAAGAGCAATATTTCAACTTTTGTTTAGTCAAACAGATCTGTTTAAAATATCAAATTTATCATTTCCATACAATTTAGTTTTTCCTGAAGCATACCTTAAAAAGGTGTTACAAGCCATTTTTATTTCCACCATCCAAAAAAGTCTTTGGCCTTATACCTGGCTAACCTCACCATGCTACTCTTCTGGAAATTGTTGACAGCACTGTCCGTGTAAGGCATATACACTATAAGCATAGGTAAGAGCTATAGGGTCACACAGCATATACCTAAAAATCTAAGAAAACTAAGGCTTCCTGAGACCAAGTTTTTGTTGAAGTCAGTATCTCGTGCTAAAATAACGTATCTTTCTCCTCAAAGCCAATGACGGATGCTTTTCTGGATCATCACCATTCACTGAGCTTCTTGACATTGCTATGAAATTCTTCATTCCTTGAAACAGCAGCAAATTAGATATGAAATTCCATAAAAGGAAAAACAAAACAATAACAACAGAAAAACCCAACACACACACACAAAACCACAACAACATGAAACTTTCACACAAGGGAAACCACATCTGTTGCTACAGCCATATCGGTCTCCAACAACAAACTAACTTCAGAACTAACTTCAACGCATCCTCCTTGAGGAGTCTGCCCTGTTTTGATTCAAAATCGGTCAAACTAAATTGCTTTTTTCATTTTTTTTTTCTGAATGAATATAAGAAAACACTAAAAGCCACAATAAAAGAAAGACTGCTCTCGAATTCAAAGCATTTAACTGGAGAGCGAGACCCTAAGGAAACGAAGCTGCACTGTCTACTCCCCTGCATCGCTTTTTATCTTGGGTACCATCCAATCCACAGCTTGCAAAAACATCTGTGCATGYGATGACATGCACTGCTCTCTGCAATATCAAAACTGCTGCCCACAGGGATGAAAGGGAAGCCTTCAAAGCAGCCCATCAACCTGCTCCTCAACCCAGAGCATGTAACTGCAGCTTATTCCTTCAAGTAATTTCTGACTAAATTTAATTATTTTTTACTATCAGGGTTATAGATTCTTACAGTGTTTGTATTAYACAAGAAAGCTTGATGGTCGTATGCAGTGCCTCTGTGCAGTACGTCCTTACGGGTAATTTTTTTGAGGTGGGCTGGTTACAATTTTTTTTCTTTTTCTTTTCTTTTTGTTTGGTCTGAATAAATAATCTGAAAAGCAAGCACAGGGTTCGAGAGGGAAGGAAGAAAGCAAGGTAAAAGGAGAAACTTTAAGCGTAACTTATGCTGCACACACCTCCCCTGGGTATTTGTGGCTAGTGAGATGCAGCATCTCTGCAAATAACTGGTCCCTGCAAATGGTGAGGATTTTCACCGTGTTGGACTACAGGTTTGCAAATACATAGAACTGCCTGAGTGTATAAAGGATAAAAAGGCAAGAATAGAGAAAATGGACAAAAAAACTCCAAGAGCTGCACCTGAAACCACACTGGCATTCAGCAAGAGGGCACGCAGCCCCGTGCTGCTCGCTAACCAGCCTCGCTGCATTACTGCTCTAGGCACTTACTGGGTTCCTCCAGCCTGGCTTGCTACGAAGCTCTCAGTACTAGTTTTGCAAACACTCAATCTCACACACGATATCTTTTCACTTCACTGAGCCCTACACACATGAGCCGCCTGCATTAATCCTTCTAATTTAATTTAATTTAATGCTGTCTTGAAAGCTCTTCTAACTCTTCAGCAAGCAAAGGGTCTAACAGTGGCGTGCACTCCAGTTCCAGGTAATTCTGTAGAGCATCTTACTATGTGCTTGTAAATCTACATCCTGTCAGACCGGGTCTTAGCTTGAGCCTAGCATGCTTTCCGTGGTAAATCCTCACATTCAGCATTTCTCATGGGGAGAATATTTTGAAAATGCTTCAATGTTTTCTATTTTCTATTGCAAGATTATGCATCTTTTGCCACAGCACTTTTCATATCACTATTAAAATTTATTTTGCAGCAGCATCCTCAACAAATTCCTATATAGACAACTTCCAAGCATTACTCCTCCCTACAAAGGCTAGATGAAAACAATCAATGGAAATACAGGAAATACAGTAGGAAGTTTATAGTTTCATCAAGGGGTGGAATTCCTCAACCTCACAACACTGGAGGAGCATTATCTTCATCAAAGCAAAGAAATATAAGCACAGAAGGATGTGCAGGTTTGCCAAGGGGCTCGCTACCAGATATCTGCCTTCTTCAGGTCTTGTTGCAGTCTTAGCCACAGAGCTGGCTCTGAGTTAACTTCAGCTCCTCCATTCAAGAGGTTTTTAAGTGACCATGAAAATTAATCTCAGGTTGTAAGATATCTATGGCTTCCCAAATCCTCCCACACTATTTGTTAGGAGCCCTGGAAATACGGTACYCCCTTAGACCATCGGTGCGTTTTCCCTTGCATTTCTTTACAGCTAAGAGAAAAATAACCAAAATTATTCTGAAGTAGATGTATTATGCTTCACAATGTATGTATAAGGCTTCACAATGAAGAGTTTATCTCTTAAGAAACTAAAACTCAGRAACAGTAACACTCCCTCCCTGCATTTTTTCCCCAACTGTGGTATCAGCTCTTCCACAACCTACTAACACCTTTTATCCATAGACTTGCATTAAAAGTAGTTTTTTTCATTAGAAATTAAGAATTGTCATTTCCATGTCCTAGACTGCTGCAATAACCTCTAACTTGAAGCCAGTTCAGATACTGCTGCAAACTATGTTTTAATAGTAACACTTTAAATGCCTTTTAGAAGAAGTTATCTGGAGTCTTATCCAAGATAATGCAGATACCGTAAGCCAGTCAAGGAGGTTTTGGGAAGAGCTGGAACAAGTTTGAAGTGCACAGACCTCTGTCAGCTCAAAACCAAAGTTCAAATTTAACTCTGGATGTTTACAAGGTTTCCTGTGTTTACCTAGTGCAAGAAAGAGCTCAAGGCAAATAAGTAAAATCTGATAGATTAGCCCGCCTGTGAAAGTGGCCTTGCAAAGCAGCCAGGAACTCCTCTACTTAGCCATAACTCCAACACTTTCACTGTAACTCCTTCAAGAATTTTGTTTTCTCCTGCTCATCAAAACAGCTCCTCATTTCAAGTAGGAAATGAGATAAGACAGGGTGAGAGGGGAGGAAATAAAAGTCACAAATGATCCTTTTCTCCTCCAAGTGTCAGCACTTCAGAGATTGCCCTCATGGCCATTTAGCATCTGAGAAAGAGCTGAGCAAGCCCTAGGAAGGAACATAACAACTCTAAGTCATATCAGCTCATCTGAACGCCAGGCAAAATACACCCACCTCGCCCTGTACACCACACGTAGAAATACTCCCTGGGCTAACTTGCTTCGCTTGAGCACCTTCTCATCAACTAGTTTACTGACACGAGATATTAACTGAACTAGCCACTAACCCTGGGGATATACAGTGAAAACAAGCAATTCAGTATCGCAGGGAGCAGAACCAGATGGATTTGATTACCAAGTTCAATGCTCCAGAGGTGCAACCCTGCCTGCCCTTCTGAGAGGTAAAGAAAAAKAAGTCACCTCTCAACCTCACAGCTGAAACGAAGTGAGAGCAGCCAAAATCAGGCAGCTCTCTCGGTTACAAGGGCATATACAGAAATCATATCATGTAATCTCATATTTTCCCTGGTAGAAACTTCAGTGCTGGTCAATGGTCATAGTGGTAAATATCCTAACAACAACGCACTGCAAGAGCTTATTCTCAAGCACTGACCATAGAACAAATCTGCATTTRAGACTATTGCCAGACCCAGTAAGATGGTGAGGATAACTACATTTAAAAGACCTGAATGGTAGGAAGCAAAGAAATAGCAATGTTTCTTTCATATTACAAACATTTACAGAAGTCATTTTATACATGTAAAGTGGACTTCATTTAAAGGAATATCCACTAAAGGAATGAGTTTATTCAGATTATTTCAGTGCACCAAACCAAGATGCATGAGCACAGCACAGGCTGACCTCCTACAGTGGTTTATACAAATGCTTTTCTGCACAAGAAACACACAGGAAGTTGGTTCCAGATTTTGGAAGGACAAGGGGTAGGTCTCATGCCCCTCTTGCAGGAGGTAACTCAAGACGGAGAAAAGGGAACCTGGCACAAGCTGCATAGAATCACAGACACAGCAACGAGTCTCGCTGCAGGACAGGAGCCAACTCCAAACAAAGACAACCTGGAACTGCAGCCTCTTTCCCCATAGCTTGGTGACACCTACAGATCATCCTATAACTGCCCTCCCACTCAAAGCCTAAGTGACCAAAACCAGCTTCCTGAAAGCAAAGCTCTGGGTAAATGTCAGTGTAAAGGGCAGAATTATTAATTAYTCACTTCCCCTGGTACTCATGTGCAGCTGAAGCCTGGATTAGTCACTGAGTATCTAGAGTATGGAGCACAACAGCCCCTATGTTGATGCAGGTCACCAGCCTGGACAGCAGCACACGGGAACACCGGAGCCAAGCTGTGTAACCAGCGGCATTTCCCTGCCAAGGAAGGGGCCATCCCRTGCCCTACACCAACACAGACCCTTACTGGGCAACTTCGCTCTCGGTACAGCAGAGACAAAGTAGGGGTTTTGCTGTATTCATTCACTGACACTGGGGGAACCTGGCAGAAAACCTCCCTAGACCCTCCTGCAACTCAATTCCCTTCCATGGGTTCAGACCTTGGGCCACAGCTTCCTAATGAGATTAGGCATAAGATAGTTTTCCTTTTAGGATGCCGACTAACTCACAGGTTTAAAATCTCATTTGAGCTATGGAAGATAGGGAGCAAGGCTGCTCACCTAGGTTTTAAGCTGAGATTATCCACACAGAGTACTAATCTCTGAATGCAGATGAGTGACAAGGTAGTCAAGTTAAAGACTATTTGCTATGCAAAAAGGCATTTAAACATCTGATAAATCACCTTTTGTGGAAACCTAAATCCATTCAACAGCTTCATTCTCCTGTCCATTGATAGGAACCTTCCTGTGTTTTCTATATACTGGTTTGGTGCAAGGAAACTTCTTCCCTCAACACGTCCCATTCCTTTAACATCTATTCTTTAGAAAGTGCTTTTCTGTACAATCAAAATTAGTACAAAAAACCCAACTCACTGGCAAAGTAGAAAGAAGGGCCTGTCTCCTTGCTGTATGGTATTTTGGGACATGCTGAATTTGGGAAATAGAAAGGTAAATTAGCCTCTTGCCACGTGCATACTTCTCCTCTTCTGGATAGGTCAGCATCTGCCTTTTGGTTTTGGTTTTTTTTTTTTTTTTTTTTTTTTGAAGATTGTAGATTCATGCAGATTTTTTTTTAAAATTTACTTAGTTGCTATTAGAGCTGGATATTTAGTTTAACAACAGGGTGGTGATGAAACAACTTGAGTCTCAGGTAAGCCTTCCTTCTGAATAGTGACACTGAGGACTTCAGCTCTCAAATTAGTATTAACACAAAAATAAAGTCTACGGCAATTAACGGTCTATTACAGTCCACTGTAACGAAAAAGTTAAAATACAGTTACATTAAAACACAAATTGGCCCCTTGCTTTTTCACTATACCACTGGCATTCTTAACAGTTCCAAGACACCTTTGGTGACTGGTTCACTCTTAGTCCCTGGAGAATCCTTTGAAGTTTATATTATATCCACCATTGTACTATCGGGGTAATAGAATTTACTCTACTGCTGAGACAGAAACCAGATAAGGTTAGAGACAATACCAGACCAGTAAAACACATGCAGAAGGGAAAAGGGAAGGGAAAGCAGGGACAGGAATGAAAACACAAAAACAAGAAATGCATCTGTATAAAACCAAGGTCTGGTTTTGCGGAAGTTTGTTTTCAAACACAACATTTTCTCAGAGGACTCCAGTTATCCAAAAACACAGGCAATTTAGCTAGACAGTAAAACTATTAGGAGTTAATTGTCACAGGACTAGATCCACCTGCAGCTTAGGTAAGCACATTTTCCACTGACACCACAGGAGAGACTTGCAGCTTTACGCTACATACATTAAGCAGTCTAACTGCAAGCCCTGGGCAGTAAATTCCGCCAGCCCCTCGATGCCAGTTCGCTGGAGATCACGCAGAGCCAGCGTCTCACACAAAGACAGGGGCTCGGGACGTCAACCTCCAAAACCAGCGTGGAGTTTAGCAGGGTGAGAAGGACAAATTAGCATTAAGGTATTTGTACGTGACAGGTCAAGTGCGCACTCCGCTCTGCTCCGGTAGCACAGGCAGTTCAAACCTCCCGGGATTAAGGCATTTAAATGGTTCACATCTCCAGAGGTTGCAAGCTGAGGTRTATAACAGACCTTTTTAAAGTCTGCCTGGTAGACAGGATGAAAGATAGTTGTTTGAATACTGTACTTCCCGAGTGTGGTTTTATGGGAGGAAAAAACCCCAACAATTTAAACATTGCTCTGTCGTATGTTTAGACAGCGTGTTAGTGGCCACCCAGCTTGGCTACCCTGCAGCTCGCTTGAGCTCTTGTTAACTCCAGTTTGTGAAACAGAAGCAGGACACACAAGGACTGACAAAGAAACCCCAGAGGTGCAGAAATATCCTGTTAAACAGCATTAGACAAACATTTTGGTTGTGTTTTTAACTGAATAATTGCATATCACCAGGTGTAAGTCACTAAGTTTTTTGGACTGAGAACTTTCTTGATAAGACCCGAAAGAGAACAAAAAAAAATATAAACTTTCAGCAGTCAGAATAATTCACTCAATGGATAAACAGACATGTTTCTTCATTGACAAGTAGTTCTGATTTGCCACAGACTTTTGTTTCACTCAAACCATTGATGAAGATGGAGTTTCAGATCTCACCAGAAAATATTTCACACCTTAAGAATACTAAGCAAAGCCCCCAACCCTCACATCTCAGTGCAGGTGTCCTGGCAGACATCTTCTTTCTACCACATACACAGGAAAAAAAAAATGGAGTGAATTTTGCAAGAGTTATCTCAAAGAAAGCACCAGCATTGCAAAGGATAAGAGTACTGTAACCCACTTAATACTGTCAACCGTGGGGAAAAAAACAACAGAGAGCAAATTTAAAGAGCAAAAAAAGGAATCAGAGAACTCGATCGAGCAAATACTCCAGAAATCAAAAGCAGCAAGGGCTGTTGTTTCTCACTTCATATTTTCTATTAGTCTTAAAAGAGGACCACATCAGATTCAGAATCAATGTGTGCTGGTATATTTAATTCAGAGATGCTGTGGGCAAACTTAAGATTCCCCAAATACCAAATGCACGTTGTAAATATGTTTTAGATTACTCTTCAAAGCTATCTAACACCACCCGGTGAGACTACAAATGAGCCCCCTAAGTTGCCCTTTAGCAATTTGCTCCGTGAGCAGCACGGAGTCATCACCTTAAGCAATCCTATATTTTGTTTCCAAGCAGTAACATATTGATAAATAGAAGCTGAAGTAATACATTATAGATGACTATATTTTTGTGGAAAAGCAACCAGTCTTGGCAAGGTCCTCAAGGATTTTGCACGTGGAAGACTTGGAAAAATTGGAATTGAGATTGTGCTGCACTACAGCTCAGCTGTGCGGTGTGTGGCTAACTGATAATCTCACAGGTTAAGGGTACTGTTGGGCCAATTCTTGCTGGACCGGGCAGTAAACACGCCTGCACCTGAAAAGAACATACTCTCATCCCAGAAGTGACACATATAGAGCTGTTCACGATGCCTCACCAGTATCCAACTGGTTGGAGTGATTTCTACAAGAGTTTCTAGGACTTGATCGTTTACTGGAAAGGAGGGGAAACATTTAGAAGAGTCACCAAGCAGCTATTGAAAGGAACACAGGAGCATGTGTAATGTCTGTCAAATGAAGTGCTCTTGGAAAAACAGCATTTAATTATATGGAAAGAAATACCAAACTTTTTTTCCAAGTTTGACCCAGCTTCAATAGTGTGCACTGGTAGGTAGTCACATACCTACAACAGACAAACTGCAAAACCAACACAAAAATGCACAAAATGGTCATAAATTAGAGGATCAGYGAAAAAGCGCTGTGCAGAGATTTGATCAAAGCCAACCAAGGGAACAGGCTTCAGTACTACAAACCCACTGGGCATGGAAGATAAGGATGGTGCACAAGGGGATATTGCTAAGAAGTTACACACATCCATTTCAAATCAGATCTCAGAGATTATCTCATATTTGTTTTTGTTTTAATTAGGATTTGAGAGGAGAGCTTTCCACCAAAAAAGGTCTGAAAGCCTTTGATCATTCACTTTATCCAAATTCTATTTAATCTAGTGAAAAAGCAATCAGAAGATTTGTTTACACGAACACCTCATGCACAAGAGCAGAAAGGATCAAAGTAATACAGTTAGCTGGACCTGTGAGCAAAAGAGACTTAAGCTCTGCAAGGAACTTCCATTTCAGCTTTATTACAAATGAGCTAAAATGTTCTTCCTCCAAGTGCCCCCCAAAAAGTTTAGTATCTGTTACTATTATTGTTTCTTATCTACGTTTATATGCAGTCATACCACTGCAGAGGTCTGACGGGAGGATRTTTTCAGATGAGTAAGATACAGACTGGCTTAAATCCGAATCAATTCCATACTAAACTTGAGATTCTCAGGCTTGCAAGTTTTCATGATACATAATGGGCATCCATTAAGCAGAAGTGTAAAACTAAGCACCGTAAAACATACAAAGATGTCTAAAGGTACAGAAAATCTTTTATTAGATTCTAAGTCAATAATATGTGACCCAATAAAAGTCTTCCTCAGATGCTATAACAAGTATCGAAATGTCATGTTTTCAAGAAACCATCTGCTATTTTGACATTTTATGACAATTTCCAAATCTTTTAGCAGCCTTGGATCTACCTGTTTCAAAGCATGTTTGCACCAAGTCATTTTTTTTCCCCTCTGAAYTGGGTATTGATTTACCATACATTTATAGTGCTTTAGTGTTCTTCATCATATTATACTTTGTAACAAGGTAACCCATATGTCAGGATTTCACTGTAAGTGAAATATGCCCATCTGGTAATGCTGGAGACTTGTTGTCAAAGTCAGAGCAATACATGAGTTGTTTCATACGCTTATTCTTGACTTACCAAAAGAGAAAAGGTAAGCAATACAAGTTTTATTTTGCTTAAACAGCAGCTTTCATACTGTTAATAATGCTAGTAGTATCATAAAGACAGTTTTTCACTAGTTGTTCAGAACTAAAGTCAAGTTTTGAAACTGAGATCGTAGCCTTGCAATAAAACCAGTCCTAATTATAATCAAGAAACAATCAAGGGATGTTGTATCAAGAGCATCAAGAGAACTTGAACAAACTTCTTTCAGCAGATATTCTTTAGCAGCTTCCCAGGTTGAAATTTCATCTTGGTCACTGGCATCTTACTGAAATCAGCATACTTGAGTTTTCATTTTAACCAGGTGGCTCAGTTTTCAATGATCTGCTCATCATATGATTTATAAACCACAGCTACTGGTATAATCTGAATGATACCCACGTTTGAAGCTTGAGATTAAGGATATCCCTGCGCAATTTAACAACTTAAAAAGTTACATATAACACAAAACGTTTCCTACCATACATAGCATGCGTCTGTTCATGCGCACCATACTGTGTTGCAGAAGAAGATACTAAACCAGGCTGTGCATGTGTTGGTGGTGCCATCATTCTAGCGTTGCCCTGTATTACAGGGCTATAAACATGAGGATGCTGCATTCAACAGAAATAAGAGAAAAAACAGACAGTTAATTGAATGACTGATACAAAGAAAATCAGCTGATCAAACCAATAATGACACATGCAGAGACAGAAAGAGCTTCCCCTACTAAAATGCAACGCAAACTAAAGATTTCCTGCTATCATCATTAACACAATTGTTCCTAAAGACATAAGGGCTAGAAACCAACCAAAGAGCAGTGTGATTAATTTCTATCACTCCAATTATGTTGCAAGCTTACATATACATAATTATATACTCATCCAGTAATATATGTACATTTAAAAGCTTTTAAGTAACAGGGTCAAGCCAAATAGATTATTTTTTATAATGCAGAATTGGGAGATTTCCCACCTGTAATCTGAAAGAAGTGGTTTCTGCCCTTTTAAGAGAGTCATAATAAGTCAACAGTTTTAGCACCAGTTTTCCAACAGTAAACATCAGTTGCTAAACTGACTTCAACGTTTCTCCCAGGCTTTGAAGCTCCTTACATCACAATCAAGTTCTCCAGAACAGATTAATTGCTCGTAGTAGCTACTTACAAAACTCCTGGAGACAAAGGTCAGTATTTAGAACCAAAGCATTTACTTATCAGTGCCCTGATGAGGCTCACAAACTAAAAAGACACTTACCTGAGACTGGTAGTGTGGCACATGCTGCACAAGAGGYTGATTAGGAAACTGCTGGGGACTATATGCAACATACTGGGTCGAATAAGCTGGTGGCGTAGCTACAATTGGCGGGCCTGCGGCTGAGGCAGGATGCATCATGGTGCTCTGATGATGCTGGTCTTGCCGTTGCTGGGGCATATTTGGTACTACAAAGCAAAGAGTACCTTGCATTACAAATACAGGGTGAAGAGCAAGTGTCTTCCTGAAAGATTTTGCATTAAAAGGTCACCTCAYGTGATGAGGCAGAACGTTCCACCTTTAAGCCCTCACCTTTAACCGCTGTACTAGAGTTCTGCTGCAAAGAAACTGCACGACAAGGGGTTCTGCTGTTTAAGCATGTGCATGGCCTGCCTTTTTTGTGAGGTAGGGAATAAGAGAGAGGTTTTATRAGAATACCTACATTAACCAAATTGATCCTGCCTTTATCAAAAGGCTAAATTTACCCTCTATGGGAACTACTAGGTAACTGTTGCACTGACTGGAGAGCTGAGTCTGTGAAAGTAGCTTGTGCTCACGGCTGTGGAGAGCAGAATAAAAGCCTCCGTGCAGCCACAGACTCAGGCATCCACCTCCTGAGCTCTGTGCTATCCCTCGGGACAGCAGAGGGTAACTTTGAATCACAGGCAACACAGAAGGAGACAAATCATCCTCCAGGAAAAAAAGGACTAGGGAAAMATAGAGGGAAAGAGCAGGAGAGCAGAGCACTGCGACATGAAGCTACCTGAGCTACCCTGAGAAGAAGGCAAACCAAAAAGTCACAGCAACAAGGCACTTGGCCTGATATAACCTATTAAGCAACAGGACATGGTAGTTCACGGAAAATCACAACTAAAAGCTAAAGTAACTCAAGTACCCATAAGGTTCACTGCAGTGTGCAATGCAGACAGACCCTTAGACGAAAAATGGGAAACACTGAAGGTGTCACTGAATTCACTCCATAATTATATCTACATTGCAAATTAGCAATAGAAAAAAAAGTAAATATAAGAAGCAACTTGAACAGCACTGAACCCAGACACATGTGGTTCCTTCCTAGCCTTGCTGTGCACAGGATGGATATGCAGAAAATTATACTGTAACTTTCAGAAGACCTGCATCACCAAGCAAATGAGAGTGTTTATCAATGTACCTTTGATTAGAATAATCAATATTAACAACCAAAAGACTTCATGAATCAGGCCACTGTAATGCTAGGGTATTTTAAAACAGGAATACATTACAGTTTTTTGTCTTCCCTACATTCATACAGGCTACTTGTTAACAGCAGCATAACTGCTCTTTCAATCCATTTCCTCCAGTGACAGGAGCTGCAGGACTGCAAGAAAGCGTGTGCTGTGCAGAACCAGAGCGCTGTCTGAAGCGGGACTAGAGATTAACAAGGCTGTCGTTTTTCTGCTGCTTCGCTTCCCTGGAGCACTGAGTGCACGTCCACATCCACACACACACACACACACTGGCTCTCATGTGCACAGCCACAGGTGCCACTCGTGAGAAACTCTATAGCTGGACTAACAAACACCACATTTTTGCCACAGAAGGGATGCAAAAGAACGAGCTGGGACCAGCAATAAGCCCTTTTCAAAACAGGGGAAAACGCTCTTTCTGAAGAAATATAAATTGTTCTTGTTGACAAAAATACTCTGTTAAGGCATCGTTCAGGGCTCTGCTRCAAACTAGTACAGAAAGGTCCTTTCTGAGTAACACTATGGCATTTAGGAAATATCGGAGACACTCAACTTACCCAAATGTTCCAAGTAACAGACACCACTTTCTGTTTATTAAATCAAATTCCAAAAGAATCAACTTTCCATTACTCAAACTTACGATGTTTTGACTGAAGTAACAAATCTAGAAACACCTTGATATTTCCATTTACTTTCTTTAACTAAAATAACATTTTAGGTATCAGCTGAAAACAAACTGGCACAAAACATGCAAAACACAAGCAGTTGTTATTTTATTCATGCTGCATGCAAACTAAGAACCAAACAGGYAGTATTATTCTCACCTTTACCTGCTCTATATGTCTTGGCTTGGTTCACAGGCATGGGCGTCATGGGAATAGGATACAGAGGCTGAAACAGAAGGAAGAATCAAAGTTATGATATTCCTTTAAAAAGTGGGTAAGGAGGGAGAACTATGTCCTAGTGTATTTTACCTTAAGCCTAGAAATAAAAACGGAATAGAGAGCCTGTAGTTCTATGAGAACTGATTACTTCTACAGATATGATAATTAGAGCTCTCTGCTATGGAAGTGGCTATTATGAAATTAATCTCAATAAAAATTATCCTATCCTAGTTTTCAAGCTGTAATTGAAAGGTCCAGAGGAAGAAACAGGAAAGAGCTAGCTTGAAGATCACCAGAACGTTCTAGACAATTCACACAGAGGAAATGCTTTATGCTAAAATGTCATACATGCAACCAGAAAAAATCATTATTGCTAAACCAAGCCAGTAGCATTCTGGAATATTCTGTTTTAATATGAGGGATGTAACGCAGTAAGAGAACACAGTTAACAAAATTTTATCCCTCTCTCCCTGGCAAAACTCTACCACACAGGTAGGATTGTTAGCCACATCTTTTTGATACCAGTAGCAATTTTCTCCACAAGAAAAAATAAACTTTATAGATTTTAAATATGGCTTAGTAACAACTAACTATGCTACAACTAACTAACCTATGATATTTTCTTGCATCATCATGATTAAATCTGTATGTACAAACAACTAGGACCATGTGGTTTGCAACATCCTTTCTCAAGGAAGGACTGGATATATTTCTTCAAGCAATATATAAAGTGAGACAGCTTTACAGCAGTTATGTTTAAAATCCTAGCAATCCCCACAACTAGAAATTAATGGGAAACACCCAGAAGTAAAGGACAGAAACAACTGTTGCATTAAAACTTCTAGTGTAAGACTGTACTTTGCAGACTGCAAAGTCTGCCCAGATTAACAAGTGTGAGAAGAGCTGCTAGATTTTACAAGTATGTAAATTCTTGTAACATCTGGGTTGAGGGACCGTTAGGAAAAGCTAGTATTTACATAGCTAGAACTTAACAACAATGCAATCGTGCCAATCTTTACAACAGTAATATAAACTGCACTGGTTCGTTGTTTTAACTTAGTCACCTAAGTCTCCTCGAGTCACTAGCAACAGTGTAAGCAAGTTACCATGACACGCTGCACTTTACCTGCACGCCTGGACTCACTGGAACCGGGTACATCATATTTGGTGCAAAACAAACAGGCTGAGTGTACACTGGAGTTGGCTGCTGATGACCCACCATGGAGGGGCTAGGCTGAGCTTGCGGACGAGGTGAGGTTGGTGTAGTCGAAGGCTTCGGCTACAAACAGAGTTCAGCAACGCATTTGCAAGACTACCTTGAATATGTCCCCCAAAACCTCCCTGCCAGCCCGAGCCCACTTAAAGTATTTGCTTATGTCTAAACTTGGCCAGGGAGCTCAGTGGTCTCTGTGGTTCTGCTGAAGCTACTGCCTTGCCCGATTTCTAAAGGTGATTCAAATTAGGCTTGGATGCAAGTACCTTAAGTGTAGCACTCATCTAATACGGTACATGGCAAGAGCAGCAACCATCACACTGGTGACACCATGACTAGAGAGGAGACTCCTCTACCACTTTACCGCTTTAAGACAGTAACTTAAAACTCCAGAGCTCGCTACAGTTAAAGGTGCCCTTTTTACCCTACACGGCTTCCCAGTGAGGTTAAACTTGGCTGCCTTGTTCCTCTCATTTGGATTGTAAGACAAGGAATACCTGCACCAGAATTAGTGCTTTCTGACTCCAAGTCGGAATTGTGGGCATTAGTCAGTGTTACGCTCAGCCATGAGAAGCATTTTAAGAACAATGGAAACCATGCATTTGAAGAATGCATCATAGATGTTTTGTGCCACAGGATAACCCAGAGATAATTATAAACAAATAACAAATAAATAAAAGCCACCAACCGCCCCCATTCTCCCAGGACAATCCTAACAAACACCAAAATCAAAGAGAACAGTCACAAACGCAGCACTGATTTTGGGGATATCTACTCAAATTCCTGTAAACTTTGATCAGACACCTCTAAAGAAAAATCATATGAGTAGATCTCCAAAATAATGTCAGGTTGTATCAAATAAATAACTCACCTGAGCAAAAGATCGAGGATTGAACTCTTTCGCATTAGGATTCAGTGTTGATTTTCTAACTTGTCTAAATAAACAACACAAAAAGATATTCAGCATCATTCCTTTACGAGCCTATCTGCAGAGCTCTCAAMCAATGAGAAAATTAACAAGGTGAAATACTCAATTTTCATCTACAAGACAGATTTTTTTAGAACTCAGATAACATGCAGTGTACAAAAAGTACAAATTACTACTCTCCCTGATAGTACTCTTACTATATTTACCCATAATAAATTTGCCAGCTGTTGATATTTCAGCTCACATGAGCCAGGGGAACATGTAAATAGGTGTTTAGATGAGGCTTAGGCACCAAGAGGACCTAAATTMCACATGCAGCTCTATTGCTGACTCATGAGATGTTTAGCACAGTCACTGCATTTATTGCTCTCAATGCATAACTGAGAACATATCATATAAATATTTATCATTTTATACATTTACAATACTGTGTTCTACAAACAACTAAGTGCTAGTAACAGATTTGCTTATTCTTAAAGGCATGATTACTCACTCAGAAGCATCTTTCTTCTCTTCTTTATCCTCTTTATCTTGTTTACTTGCAGGCCCAGATGTCTGTACACCTTGCGAAGTTACCTCTGGCCCTCGCTTTTGCTCAGAACTATTACTTATTGATGGAGAAATACTTGGACTATTAGGTTTGCTACTGCCACTGTTAGAGTTAGTATTACTGCCAGTTTCTATAACAGATTCTTTAGGGGTTGATTCTATCTTTTCTTTAACCACTTCTCTCGATTTTTCACCTTCTCGAGTTTTGTTTAGCAGCTGATCCACTGCATCTGAAGAGGAACTCGACTGTAACTGAAGATAAAAAGAATAAAATAAATAAAATAAACCACCAAGGTCTCTTTTCAGTWAGTTGCTACACAGAAATTGAAGACACTGCTATTGTCATCCCATATACAACATAAAATACACTCCCATAGGCCTTCATCATCCAGAAGTTATCATTTAAAAAGCATATTTTATTTTTTAGCAATAAAATCTCTGAACACTGACATTCATTTAAGTCTACACTGTGGAAGCAACAATTTAGATACTACATTGATCTACACATCAATTAGAAAGTAACAGGAAATCTTAACACAACCTTTGGACTCCCTGCATGATTTAGGCGCAACACTGGAGAAGTTAACCCAATTTAAAAGGCCACTTTACCAGGAGATATATTAAGAAACAGCTGATATTCTTCTTTAATATTTCTTCAACCAGACTCTCCATYTTGCTTTGAAAACATTCTTCCATATGAAGCATAAATATGATAATTTATAGTAATTTATAACTAATTACCAAGTAGTTTTCAACTAGTATTTCCAGTATACATTATCTAAATCAATATGAATATTTACCAATATTAGAGAATTGTACAAGGACAATCAGCACTGATTTTGTAATATCCACTACGAATCCTTATCAATATGTTCATAARTTAATCACAAGTTTCAGAGATTTGTTAATGCATGCAGTATATTTAATTACAATAATTTGGATGCACAAGAGAACTATGATATCCATACGTCAACATGCAGAGGAACTTACCCTAAAGTCATTCTTAAATTTCTTTAAATCATCAATCTGTTTTCTATGTTCTGAAACAATTGGAGATACACCTGCCAAACACAAAACCAGCATTATCCAAGCATTTCCAATGTKTCATATATACAACGCTACAACTTTAGACAACTTTTAAGTTTATCTAAAATACAGTGCATTTCATTCTCAAACATGCAAGAATTTGTGTCTTTTTATCTGTAATTGGGTATCCTTCTACACATAGACTACACATAGGAGCAGGTGTAAGTACTCTGTGTAAGCATGGAGGCTTCAGTGAATGTAGAGCTCTAACACACCACACCAAGACAGAAGTCCTTAGGTGCACAGATTAAATTTCATCTCAAAGTAGAGCACAGTAAAAACTTCAAACTGTAACTGCTTACGCTAGTGTATCAAGACACAAATTTAAGTTGAAATATTGATCAAGTTCAACAACATAAGAAGAATTTGAGAACAGAATGAACAAGCACGGCTGCAGGGAAAGCCAAACATAAGATATAATAGCAAGAAGCCGTGTCACAAAAAACAGTGCTGACCACAAAGCTCTGCAATACTATGAGCACAGCTCCTGAAATGAAACACTCATGTAGTCCTTGGGCAAGTCTTTCTTTGGGGAAGGAACTGCATCATCTCCACATTTTATGGCGATGAAATGAGCCAAGAACAACACCTACAGTTGTAAACCTGTCACTACAAAACTGCAGGAGCAAATATTCCTTGTAGAACATCCAAGATAGCTGATCTCAAGTCTTCTTTAAAGTGTTAACTCCACTAAATATATATGGAATTCAATAAGTTATTCAGGTATGTATGGAAGCTTTTGATACAAACCTTTGCTTTCAGGTTTAGGAAAACTAGGAGAAGTCTCACTGGGCTTTATATTCTCCTTGTTTCCAGTTGCAGAATTTTGCCTCTGGTCCTGAAGCCTAGTATCTTTAGCTAGAAAAGAAATTCTCAAAGTCATTCTTTAAAATACTCTCAAACTGATCAAAAAAATGAATGCAAGACAGGAAGAGAAGAGTTTTAACCACATCTAGCTCGCAACAAAAAACAACAACAAAGAAACCAGACATTCCTCATTCTACACTATGTGGTTTTTGCCTGAAGCGGAATCTTACCTTCCCTACCTATGGATCACTCATCAAACCAGAAAAACCCAATACTGTTCTTCCCTATCGCACACACAGATCCTTAACTAGGCTGAAAAAAATACAAACCAAGAGTGAATTAATTTSAATAGTCCCAGCTCTTCAAATGAAATGCTACATAGACTTGAGTGTTCTTAGACCCCTGTGATGGTACTCTTGAAGGGTTTTCTCCTTTCATTATGCTCAAAATATTTCAAAATATTCCTTGAAAGCAGTGGCCTAGATTTCTTCCAATTAGGAAATAGCCAGAGAACCAGTTAAAAAAAAATTAGCCAGAAAATCTTTTTAAGTCAAACACTTATAAAGAACAAAACAAATTTAGCAAATAAGCCTATCAAAAAGCCTTTCTCCCAGCCTTAGTTTAAAGTTATCATGAGAAAAGGGAAATGACTACAGTTGCTATGTTGTATCAGACAAAAGGTTTCCCATCCTTTAGACAGCAGCTTCTTTTATGGGCGTACTCATTTGCAGTGATTAGAGGATTAGAGCTGCAGGCTCTTTGCCAGCTAGCAAGGGTGACTTACCTTCACTGGAAGGGGTAACTGCTCTGTTGGATGCAGGGCTGGCAGGTGTGGGAGAGGCAGCTGGAACAGGCATGGCAACAGATTCAGTAGGAATAGTACCAGGCTGAGGAGAAGGCAGAGCTGGTCCCGTGGGAGTACTGCTCTGCCTTGGAGACCTAGGCCTGTGTGTTTTAGGGGATAATCTTGGAACTAGAAACAAACAGGAAAAAAGAGCTATAGGACAAGCTTCCTCATCTGTTCAGCAGCTTGCTTATTTTTAAAATGAAACTGAAAAAACATGCTTTGAAAATCCTCGGTGCAACATTACATAGTAATTGAAAACCTGTTTACCTTTCAGGTACATCTCCTAGTTCTTTACAATGCAGCATTTCTGACAAGCGGTATTGTCCCCTAGATTGTCCCCTAACCCATTCACTGCCCTGCAGTGCCACAGGAAACTGCAGTATCCTCCCTGGCCCCCCATGGGACAACTACAAAAGCTCACATTAACACAGTTTCAGGCAGAACAGAAAAGGTGGTCAGCCTCAAGACAAACAGATGTAAAACACCTCTGAAGGGACTAAAGAGCACATCCATTTTACAGTCCTCTTTTGGAGGGGTGCCAACTGGAAAAAAACAAACATATCCTATTGAAAGAACAGTATTTGAAATATACTTTTTGCTCCTGTGTTAAAGCAGCAGGAAAAGCTGTAGATTGTTTCAAGAATGAGTTGTGCCTCCTGCTCATCCCACTGTGGCTAGTTACTTGCCTTACATAAACTTTGAGTGAGAAAGGAAAGAGGCAAGGTGTTTAACAGCAGTATTTGCACCGTAACAATATGTAAAGTGAAGGTGTGAAAAGCAGATGAATCAGAGTGAATGCCAAAACGGAAACGTTTAAACTTTTCCACAAGGCAACATGTCTAGGGGGGTTCTCTATGTATTAGACTGACAATAATTTCTACCTTCTTTTTAAAAAAGGTTCCCTAGTGAGCACTTTCCTAAAATTCTAGCACTGCTAAATAGTGTCAAACTCCAAACTCTACCTGACTTGCTCTCACTCAAGTGAGCACCCAACTGCTGACAACTCACTGGAACATGGGCCCAACTACAAAAGCTCGAGACTGGGGCAGAGGTCGTAAGACTGAGCTTTAAATTGAGAAGACAAGTATTGATGATGATAACTGATTGGAAAAAGATAAAAGAAATTGACTGACTGTATTTGCTACTATGCTACTTATTCCTGACAAGGGCAAAACAACCACTTAAAAATCTATATCATTTTAGAAGGAAAAAAAATCCAACGAATTGGAATATCATTTCATCTTTGAACTCTAACATTTCTCTAGCAAACACTTCACCAAACTGTAAATTACATCACTCCAGTTACAAAACCATTCTCCAAACGCAGTGATGTAATGGAACACGTATAACTTTACTTGTCTCCCTCAAAAAAAGCCTTTGAAATGGTTTCTTTCTGTAACTAATTCCCACATTTTTCCTCTCTTTTCATATAGCAAAACTGACTTAAATCCTCTGCAGTTAAGACAAGATGGCACTTCTAAGGACTGGTGAGCTGACCATTTTACTAAGCTAACCCTTCTCCCACTTCACCTAAGCAAGCTAAGTTAGCAGACCAGCATTTACTCAGGGTCTGGATTATCTAGAAATGCAGTATCCTGCTCAGCATTAAAGTCTAAAATGCCCCTGGCAAGCCATCTGCAATAAGCCAAGCTTTACCTACCCCCACTGACAACTGATGACCACGTCCCACCTGAAGGGCTGCCTCGGGCCACTGCAGTAGTAGATGCTTCCCCTGGTGCATTATGAGATACAAATTCTAAGCCACTTGAAATTGTACCCCTACCAGTAGAGACTCTGTGACCTCGAGGGTGCCGTTGTGCCTTAGGAGACATCCGTGGAGGCCCTGAGAAAAAGAAGACAACCCCACACAATAAATGCTTAACATCCATCACCTAGTTCATCCAAACATACTATCTGATTTTAGAACTGGCTTTAATCTTCAGTTCTAGTAACTCTCAATATTGCAGTATTACAGTCAAACAAATTACACTGACATGGACTAGAACCACAGGTCTGTAAGCCTAAAAAGGCCGAGGCATTGGTACAGTCGGCCTGTCAACCTACTCTTGGCCTTGCTACTAAAGCTCATATTCATTGGTATTTAGTGCTGTATCAGAATTGAAACAAGTTCTGGACTTAGAACATTTCAAATCAAGCATTCAATACTGCTTACTGCAAGACAAATCAAAGAAGTTAGCGGCCCAGCTCCCTCTGAATGAGCCTAGGTCTCTATCATCAACATAGCTCTGGGCTACTGAACATTTTCAAGAAAAAAAAATATTGTTTTCCATCACTTTGCGAGGTGGTCAATAATACCAAGCATTTCTTTATAGAGTAGTTATCACTGGCTGACCAACGCTCCGGGAATTTCAGTAGAGCATTTCGCACTCAGGTTAAATTGGAAATCTGCAGCAAGTCATAATTCATTTACAAGTCCACAAAACTGCAACTTAATAAGTTATGGCTATCCCAAGGTTCAAGTCACGCACATTTAACTACAAAAGCTAAAGCCATACAGTGAACACAGTAATTCTGAACAGTTTATACAAGCTGTCATGGAATAGTTATGTTCAAATCTGAGCAGCAATACAGTAACTACAGCCCAGTAAACATTTTCTTTAATGGAAGTTCACACTGAAGTGTACATACTTTAAACAGAAAATCTGTGCATTGCAATGGACAACCTGGCTGATTACAGCTCTTCATATTTTTCAAGTAGAACAATAATAAGAGAAAAAAGCAGGTAGTGGATTTCTGCTTTGAGACAGAAAATATCAAGCACCTCTTCTAGTTGTTTAAATCTTTAAATGCCAGCCTCTATTTTAACCATGAAGCTAAAGTACACTTCAAACCAAATTATATACAGGCAAGTATTGTAAAGACTTGTATATACATTGCAGCAATCCTATCCCTGCAACAGAAGCTACACACTGCAGCAAGCGACGGTTCATTGTATGCTTGACCAATGAATCACATCTGCTAATAAAAAAACTGAATTTGCATGTGGATTCTCAATATCTTACACTTCTTTTTTTTTAAAAGTCATCTTGACAAACGGACAATACACGTGATGCAGACATGTGCAGCACTGCCTGCTTTCTGGTTGCAGAGCATGAGGTAAAGGCTGCATGAGCCTCGAGCGAGCTGCTCCGCACCCCATTCCTGGGACCCGCTCTCACTCCTGCTGCTCCAAGGGAGGCAGCTACTGCAAACGGGCTGCACGTGGCAGGTCCATCAGGAGAGCCAGTTTGCAGCTCTCCAGCCTCAATGGGCAGGCAAGTCTTTGAATGGAGGGAGGAAGAGGGGGGGAAAAAAAAAAAAAGAGTCTTCCTCGTTGTCCTCGGTGGACAGATAAATTCAGTGCATACAGCTGACTCCCAGGTTAACTGGCCACTGCAAATAAGTGACTACTAGGAAGCTGAGCAAACTCAGATCTGAGGTTTTTTACAGATTCACCTTGAAAGCAACTTACCCTATCCTATTCCATAGGACACTTCTCTGAATACAATATTTTCACAAAATGCAATTATATTGCTTCATTAAATTTGAAATTGCTTTGAGTTGGACTGTTTGAATTGCTTTGAGTTGGACTGTGTTAAAATATGAGATTTTGTATGAAGTAATATTCCTCAAAATGCCCTCTGTAATTATCAGGTTGTGCGTGTTGCTGTTTGTTAAGACACTGAGCAGCGTTTACAAAGCTGAGTTGATTTCATACCAACTTGGGAAATTTCACAGCTTTATTTTGTTTTTGTAAAGTTCTTCAAATAAAAAAAAAAGGTTAATAGAAATAGTCTGATAAACTAAAGTTAAACACAAATTATAGGTTAAGTAATGAAGAGGAAAAACAATTTTGTAATTAAACTCACAAAGGAGTTAAACAAAGACAAACAAAAACATGAACAAATCGTGGTATTGTACCTTCTGAAGACATGCGTTTAGGCATAGTAGAGACAGGAGCTGGAGAACCATGAGCAGAGGGGTGAGACGGGGGCCTGGAGGGCCGCGAGGGGGGCCTGGAGGGCGGCCGTGTAGGGGTGGCTGCCCGAGGTGGAAGAGAGTTGGGGCCTGACTGGTAGCGAGAAGGTGGGCGAGAGGAAGGAGATGGGCAAGGCGATGGCCAGGGAACACCTGACAGAACAAATGATATGAAGGAAAGTATAAAAACTAAAGAAAAAAATATGGGGAAAAAGGTCAACAGAAAAAAAAAAAAGTAAAATATGACAAAATGATTTTTCATGTTTAACCCTTTGGGGATGGATTAGTTTATTTGTGCAACCAATACAAAGGGCTCTGCAAGGTCATTTCCTCCACTTCAAGACTGATAAGTTTTAACATCTGAATGTCACATAAACTCCCCAAAGGGTTAACTAGGATCTACAAATACTACTAAGGAATAGACAGTAAAGTTTGATCTACTAGCCTATCATACGTTCTACTGTACACATCACTCTTGACAAGGTCCATAAATAACTACAAAAGGATCCTAATACAGCGGTTCACATAGAGTATTAACTAAACAAGCTACTACTTTGAAACCCAATGATGAGCAGCATCAATTCTAGGAACTGCATCTTTACAAAAAACAGCGGTGTTCAGTGTCTGAAGCCTGATGTTTATGCTTATCAGTTATCTGAAGTAGTAATGGAGAATTTTAATATAGCAGATATGGGGTTCATTGTTTCTGAAACACAGAATTTAAAATATCCAAAATGGCTTGTGAATTCTCGTATAGAATGTTCATTCAGCAAAATAATAGGATGACAGAAACCATCAACACTATAAACAGATTTCAAAGTCAGCAGGACTCAGTTGCCTAATTTTCTGCAATTGACACTGTATTCAAGACAAGAATATCACCTACCTTTAGAGGTTCCTCAGACTTCCTCTCAAGAGGCACTTGAGTATTGTGCATTTTTATTTTTACACAACATTCTCAATAGTACCACTTTTAACTTACAAAAATAATGCCTCAAATGTGATTTTTTGCTGAAATGTACCTCAAAAACAGCATTTGGTTTACTTCCTTACTTTCCCATCTATGACCTTTCCCTCTTTCCACAGGAAAGTTGGTGATGTGTCCTGATATTTCTTCAATGAGAAACAGAATTGGTGCATGCACCAAGGAGGAAGAGTGACATTTCCTCCAACGCAGCTACCACCTCCCCTTCACTAGATGTCAGCATTGCTATTACTCAACACAACGCTTAACAGCAATAAAATAAACTTTTAGTCTTTAAAACTGTAAACCACGCCATCATCTAAGGAAAAGGATTTTTTTTTTAGAAAACAAGTGACATCTCTGGATATGAAGCCATAAACTCAAATTAATTTTTCACTATCAGTAAGTTACATCAAATGAAAACCACTTYGTGTTAAATGATGAATGCCAATCTAGCTTATGAAAATACACAGCATAAACACATTACAGGCAGCTTCAACACTTAGATAAACCACTGCACTTGTACAACACACACTGATTTAGATTTAAGATACTTGCCTCCGTTAACTACTCTCTGGTCTGCTCCAGAGTTAGAGCTGAAATCCGAAGTGTGGGATCCAGATCTTGAAATTGGTGGGCCCGATCCAGACTGGCCCATCCTTGGTGAGTTTTGTCGTCCACTTCCCCAGGACAGGACATCTCTGTTTCTCTGTCCAGGTGGAATGTATTTATTTTCCCTGAAACACAGGAAATTTCTATCAGTTATAAGGCAGAACCTGGGAGATAATGAAAAGCACCTGTCAGTGCTCTGATGATACCCATCTTTCTCAAATCAAGTTAAGCAAGAAGAGGAATGAAAATACAACCCAAATGTTGACCTCTTTTAATAAACTGCCTCATTTAATAAATTGGAAAAATACTATTCATAGCATATTTAAGTACCTAGTGTTGACACCGTGTCCATCTCGTTCACTAGCATTTCTCTGAACAGCAGTATATTTTTCTTCTTCTGTCCTTTCATCATTTTCCAAGGCAACTCGAGCTTTGTACTGGGCACTTGATTCAATTTCCTCTGCTAATTGAGTTGCTCTGGCTTCCCGTTTTAAAAACTCTTCTGAATTATCTCTTTCTAATGGCACCCTAAAAGAAATGGGAAAGGAAAATAATTCATCTGAATGCATTCAAAATACAGATAATCTACAAAAAAATACATAGTGCAAGCAGGTCAGTGTAAAATAAATAAATAAATAAATAAATGCTTATAAGCCAAAAGACTATGTTTTTAGTATAAGTCACACCACCCTAGAAACATTACTAAGATATTATGTGCAAATTCACTGCCATTCACCTGCCTAGAAGAGTTGACATCAAAGTGTTTTTTCCATATGATTAGCAAATAGAAAGCTTTGCACATAAGTCAGAAAAAAACTTTAAAAGCAGAGATGCAACACCGAAAACCCTATCTCTTTTTGCCATGTTATAGGATCTCAAAACCATTCAGCGCAGCTATGATATTGATAATATATATATGGTAGAAAGCAAAGAGCTTCCTTATGAAAGCCACCAAGTAAGAATTTGCTACACAAGCAATGAAGCATTCACAGCTGGCTGGTGCTTTCACTGCTTTTGTGCCTTTTTTTTTTTTTTTTTTTTGTGGAAGTGTTGGGTTTTTAAAAAGCAACTTGGTGCTTTGTCCCCAGCTACCAGACTGCAGGTTTTCCCCCAAAACAGGCACACTCTGCCCAGCCTGTAAATCTACTGGCCTTATCAATGGTAACTGTTCAAAATTTTAAATAAAAACACTGACCCTCAGGGTGAAGCTTTGGGCTACAAGTAATATGTGCAAGAAGGCCATGCTTGCAAACCCTTAGTCATGGGCCTCACAAGCTACATGCACTAAGCACACTACAAAGCAAAATACCCAATACTTCCTCATTTACTTAATGACTGAAAACAAAAGAACACAAACTGATGCCCCCAGCAGCACTCCTGGCAACTTAAAACAGGCAAAAGAATGTTTTTCCTTTTCCTAACAAAGAAAGGGACATTAAAGATGAAACAAAGGCAATGGGCAAGGTGATGCTGTATTAACCCTAGCAATACTAAAGCCATGTGTAACAGCTCATTGGCATGCTGTTGTAGCATACAAAGTTACACCTTCGTGCAGTTTACAAACTGCACCTGCTAATAATTCTAGAAAGAGAAAATAAATCCTCTAGCATCCTTCAATCACGTGGTCAGCCTTAGCTAACCGGCTGCTTCTCCTGTGCTTGGAGGATCAAGGAGAGAGGGAAGTTTCCCAGTTCAGCAGAMAACGTGAATCCAGTTGCCTGACTGGGAAGCAATGAAATCTGTCTCCAAAGATTTAAAGCTACCTCACATTCTAATCTGTTTCTGTTAATATCCATAAAACAAAAAGATGAAAGATAACAGTTCAAAATTACTGCAACTTAAATCCACAAAGTATTCTAAAGAAAATGGGATTCAGTCATAAGCTGATTAAGAAATTTTTCTTATTACCATGGTATAGATCTAGTTTAACAAAAAAGTAAAAATAAAACTATTGAAGCAGAGCGTTGCAGACAAGTATTCCAATTCCACATAAGTATCAGCATGTTTGCTGCAATTCCTGGACATTCAAAAATATCTTTATGTCTCGAGGGTGAAAGAATGGCAGGAAGTTAAAGACACTTCAGGATGGTGGATCCTGAATCTGCAATCGATTCTTTTACACAGCTGCAGTTAACGTTATAGCTGGAGAGTCCTGGCAACGGGTCCACRCAGTCAGAGTAGCCAGAGGAGCCTTTATACTACTATTTTCAAATTACTAGTGTATCTGAAACTTTATGTTTGGRCAAGTCTACTAAACAAGTTACTCACAGCACAGACAACCCCTTGAAAATAACAATACATGTTTCCAATATACAGAAAAGCAATTATCTCAAAATGAGGYTTTAGTGAAACTGTTCTGACAGGTTAAACACAAATTATGGGTATAGTAGTTATGTAAACAGATTATAGTTTTAAATTTTGTYATTTTCTACCTTATTTATAAGAACTTTTGTAAGAAATAGGCATTACTGGATGCCTGTTGCAATGGGAATGCATTGTGCCCATTTAAGGCAATATATAGCGATATACCACGTCTAACTATTAACAGAAAGCTGGCAACGTTTCCTAAGCACTGCATCCATTGTTTTTTCAGTGATTTGATTTCACAACCTTAGAAAGCATATAAAACTAGCTTCAGAATATAAAATTTAATCAAACCAGGGAGAACATTAAACACAAGTCTAGTAACAAAATATTTTGGAACTTACGTATAAGAAGATAAACTGCTGTCATAAGTTGATACTACACCATAATTTTCTTCATTGTAACGAAACATGTCATTGGGATCCCATCCATTAGACTAGAAGAAAATGATGCTTGTTTTTCAAAATGACACTGGAAACACATTCCCTTAAAATTAAGGGCTGAGGGCAGAAGTTAAACCTTTTGCCATTTCTCCCAGGCCTGCAAACTCACTGTTCATMTAATAAAATCATTAAAGCCACGGTTCTGTTTCAGGGTTCTTCATCTATCAGATGCACCAATTCTGCCCTCAAAAGCCAGTGGTTTGGGGTTTTTTTTTGTTTGTTTGTTTACTTTTTGAACAAGTACCATGCTCACTTTGTACTAGATTACTAGCTAACAAGAAATGTATATATGAATGCCTTTCCAAAGAGTGAAAATAGACGCTTTTGAACATTAAAAGGGTGCCTCACTGTGGCAAGGGCTGTATCTTTGCAACTACCCTATAAATGCAATTGCTGAGATGAACCACAGGCAGGAGACCCCTGCTGATGTGCACATCTTCCCCACTTCAATAAAATCTTTGTAGCACTCGAGTGTTTAACTTTGCAAACGATAAATGCTTTGAATATTTTATAAATGCAATGACGATATTAAGTATTATTTGAATAAATCTGAGCTGTACAATATGTACACTAAAACTGAGAGGATAACTGTTCTATCCAGTCAAAGTTAATATTCTCCACGGTAACATTACTAGATTCTCCTCTATCAGTAACATCATCTTCCTTCCTTCACATACTGCAGTCTGAATGCCTTTTTAATAAGAGTGCTTGCTTGAGTAAAAGTGGATGCCTGTGAAACACAAAAAAAATTTCTTTTGAGAACAAAATCTTTATCAAAGAACTCAGAATCTCCTGAGATCATCTGTGATTATGAAGTCATGGGTCAGATTTCCATCAATTGCTTTGTTTTTTGCTCAGTGCCAGTTAGCTAAGCACAATTTCACCCTAATTTCTGATGTAATAATGCTCAGATAAGGATGCTCTGATTACGCATGATCACTTCAGTGCAGTTCTGAATTTGAAGTCCTTAATAAAGGTCTGACTGAAAGAGGAGCTTTAAGTCAAACACATCCCTTGCCACAGCAGCTGTCATCTGTCAATACTGGCCAAAAAGTGGCATTTGAAATCCAGTTATTCTTATTCAAATTGTAAAAAAAATTACTGTAGCAGCTGCTAGCAAAGTTTGAACATATACTTACACAAAGTAGCCCTGCAATTTTGGTCATTACTAGATTAAAATAAGTGAACACTRCAAAGCATGTCCAGATAGACAGCTAGTTTTGTAGAGACTTAGACAATAAAAAAGCTTTACTTACAACATCTGTCTCTAATGCCTCAAGCTCCTCAGTAGCAGCAGTCTCTCCTGCATCCCATGGTTCAAGATCCTTTTCCTTGTGTTCACCATTTACTTTAGCACTGATGGCTGAATCAGTAAAAGCATCTACAATGGAGTGGGGAGGGAAATCAAATTCAGTTAAGTATAGGAAGACATTATGCACACTGGTGAATTTGAGGAATAACCAAGTACAGCTGAATTACAGGTATATGAACATCATTAATTCCCTCTTGTGGTTGCTACATTCAATGAGATTACATTTAGGAAAAACTATGGCAGGACAGACTAACTTATCTGTTTACAGGTAACTTTTAGTATGAGGCAAAAGGCAGAGAACAGCAGTTATTAATTTCAGAATATTTTACACAAACTACATGCATGTTTTTTCACTAACAAGCAGGCCTACCTGAGTATCCCAATTCCTCTGTATWATCCGACACTTAAACATTATGCTTTTCCAAACAGCCTACATAACTGTACGCTAACATTTTCTGCTAATATCAAAAAAAGCATCAGCGCAAACTGATCACATTCCCCAAATGCGTGGAATAAAAGTTTTCCTTCAGGTACCTGTTTCTTCTATAACTCCTCAAGATACCAGAATACCCACAGTGTTCTGCTCCCTTCATAAAGTCTCTCTGAATGAGCTAGTAGCTGGGTGCACCCATTCATTGGGACAAGGAGCAGTCCTTTTCCTCCTGCAATAGCTTTTGTCAAGCACACAGGTCACACAGCAAGATGCAGAAGCTCTCTGCCTCTTGCTCTCAGCAACATACCAAAATAAATATACCATTAGCCTGGTGCACTAAGCAACAGGGTTCTGACACTATTTATATAAATTATACAGTTTTAAATAAAAGAAAAAAGATAATGACATTTTAGTTTCAAACTTGTTCAAATCAGTCTTTAAGAAAATAACTGAGGGAATAATACTAGGATATGAAAGTACTTAAAAAAATGTAAAAAGCCATTCAACAAGGAAGCCAAGCTTGTGCATTTTTAAGCAACTAAGTCTTATAGCAGCTTGCAAATTACTGAAACACAGTGAACTTTGAAAAAAAAAAAGAAAAAAGAAAGAGAAAAGCTTGTTAAAGTGCTTTCAGCCTAAAACTTCTCATTGTCATTTTACAGACAAAATAAGGAACAAACATTTCAGATCCTTATAAAAGACGATATAAAAGCACCAAACAGTGTTAGACATGGAAAAACACGGTTTAACTAAATTTTGGCARGATCTGAAATATTATTGGAGAGCAATGAACTTCAAGTCATCATGAAAAAAAATTAAACCATAAAAGTGATTTGTTAGCCACTACCGTTAAGTCTTAAGCAATCACCTCACCTAAGTTTTTTTTAAACAGAGACTGTCAACATGATCTATTATTCCTGTTTTATCCAATTCTCCTGTCAACTTCTGCACTTTTATCGGTATGATCTGTCCTAACAGTTAACTGTGTTTAGTCTGTCTAATTCCATTCAGCACCATCTCATGAAATRCTCAATCAACTCATACACACAGAGTATGAGGCTATGAGACTAAAGCAACTACGGGTAAGCAAGTAAGCATTTAAGCATTGTTAATCAGCACGTATGAAACAAAACATTATAGAAGATGTATGACAGGTAAGAGGAGTTTATTAGCTAAACATTCATTTCAAATAAAAACGAAACAGTAAAATAAGAAAAAGCAAATGAAAAAGACACCTGATGAGGCACATCACTGTTAAGGCTCRTGTGAAATTGCAAAAACCTGCATCAATCACCTTGAGAGACAGCAGCGCCAGTGAAAGCTGGGACAGCACCTACTCGTTTGAAGGTTAACACTTCCAAATGAGAGATTTTAGCTTGTCACTAAATGCACTGCCTTTACCAGGCACGTTCTAGGATTATTTGCAAATTGTTCTGAAACAGTCATTAGGGCATTGGACTACCTATTAGTGCTGATGCAATATTTCAATTGTTGCATTTTCAACTGTTCAGAATCGATAAAAATCAAGGGTGAGAACAGAAGTCATCAACTAACTGCAAGATATTCTAAATGATTCGGTGAAGTTACGCATGCAAGTTTTATAGTGCCATAAATGTGCGAGCAAGGATAGTAAGTTTCCATTATATATTATGGTAACAAAAGCATTATGAAAGGCAAGATGCAGAGACAGAGTGACTGCCAAAAAAGTTACCTGTTTCTGAAGGAACTACAACAGATATGGAAAGAGAAAAAAATTGGAAGACATCAGATATAAATACAGGTGGATATTTCACATTTTATGGCTGAATTCAGACAAAACTATAATGTTTCTGTGACACTAACAGTCATATTCAAACCAACTATTCGTCTCCCACCTTAATGAGCTCATTTCTGTAGCAAAATGTCAGATATAYTCCCATCTGTCCACAGACCCATGCATTTCCCCATTTCTGCTTCACAAAAATCCTCCAACTAACCTACAAATTTCTAAGGGACACCAGCTTGAAAGAAAACATCTCTCAAATTTCTCTACATGCAAACAGTTTTTTAATTAAATACACTTTAAAATCAAAAAGTACCTTTAAATCTAGCTTGGAAATATGCAGTAACAAAGTGCTACCTCCATCCACAGATAAGTAGCAACAAAGAGAAAACATTCAACAAGAAGGCAAAAGACACACACTTGCATTTGGAAACTCTACATTTCCTTCATCAATACCTCGTTGCTTATCTAGCCTTAACCTGGATAGGCCTGACAGGCTTCCCCCTTCTCCCCCCCCGCCTAAATACCATTAATTTGATGTTTCATGTTTGATCCTCTCCAAACACTAATTAAAAATACAAGCTGGGGATTGCTTATATCATTCAGCAAACTAAAGTTTGCATCTAAGCTGCTTCACTGAGCTCTTCCCCAATGGGGTTAGATAAACCAGAAGAATAGGAAGGATGGTAGTAGTGGCCAGTGGTTATTTTGCTGTAAGTTACAGAGATGCTTCCCTTAATTTCTATGGAATGATTTCACAACAAAAACTCCATATAAAATGTTGTCATCATGAATACTGTGATTAAAACACTACCTAGACACCCACTGCACCCACAAATTTTCCTATTTAGAAAGCCACATGGAAAGCATTTAGCAGAACACCCAGAAAGTGTGATGATATAGAGGGACTCAGACAAAAAAGGTCAAAATAGGAGCCCCCTCATCTAAAGAATCCTTCAGATACAAATGAGATCTGTACACTCAATCTTAAATTTTCCAGAAGAATCTAGTATATCACAGGGCACGGGAGGCCTCACTGCTCTTCATTTGTCTCTCACTTTAGGACACGAGTTACAAGTGAGACTGTGACCTTTACAGCTCCAAAAAACCCCACAGTTAGGAAAAATATCATGCTACAAATACAAGCTTCTGGTCACACAATACAGTCTCCTGAGTATCCAGGCAAAATTCAAACACTGCAGCAAGACACCTCAAGTCACAGCTCACTATTTTCCTGGAGATAAACACAGCCAGACAGGCACAAAGGACACGAAGATTAAAAACAGCGAGTAGCGAGTCAAACAAGACATTTCCAAAATTAATGAGCATCAAAATCAAGAACACACACAAATTCTACAAGTAACCATTTCCAAAACAAAAATACTGTTCTTAAGGTTATCAGTAAAATAGAACAATAATTGCCACCACAAATGCCAATTGTCAGACTAGTAACAGACAAGATACTGACTGGACAGACTCAGCTTCCACCTTATCTGATGTCTCCTATCTCTAAACTGTGGAATGAACAATTCACATGGCACATTAACAAGGATACTTTTTTAATCGATTCCTTTTACAATGGTAAAAAAAAAAAAAAAGAGTCAAAGATCAAATAAAAATTGGTCATACAAAGAGCTCACGTTGTAGCACTCAACTAGCTCCCACTGCCTTGTGTGTGCCTTCCATGAAATCTCCTCTAGCAAAGAACCTGTATACGTAAAACCTCATCTCTTGTTTCAAAACTGGCTAACAGGGAAAAAAAAATCCTAATGACATTTCTTATGATGCAGCCAAAATTCACATTAAGCAAAGGCAAATTAAATATATATATTCCTAGTAAAAAAAAAAAAAAAAACGCTTGGGCAAATTCTTCAACTACTATTAAGCCATTTTGAAGAGAAAAAAAAACAGATCGAAGCAATTAAGTGCCCACGTTTGATTAACTTCTGTGTTTAACACGTTTGTTTTCTCAAACATGTTTCAGGCTAATAATGGTCAATAGCAGAAAGAGGCATTTAAGTGCAACTCTGAGGTCCAAATTCTATTAAACCAACCTGCTTTATGTTCCAAAGACATTCAAACACCACAATGCAAACAGCTAGTCAAGCTTAGCATGGCTTGAGGTAAACTGAGGTTTCAGTTTAAACGCTTCAAGGCTGAACTCTGATTTGTTTTGTAACTACTTACTACTGCTTGGACTGCTTTGAAACATTAAAACCAGTTACCAACAGCTCTACAGAGCTACATTTTCTTTCTTTGTTCATAATATGCCTATTGCTATTCCCCCTGCAACAGTTTCTCTGGAAGCATGCCACTTTCACTGCTAACTCAAACTCTTAAATAATCAATTTTCTTTTGYCTTTTTTCTCCACTGGATTTGCAGTATTTTTCTCAGAGTGCCAAAAAAACAATAAAAACGTTGTTGAAGGCTATTACTTTARCAGTAATGATCTTGAATTGTCTCGTCTTTAAAGAGAAGCCAAGGAGACATTTCTGAAGCCTTAGCTAAATTTGAATCACACGCAAACTAGTACTGTTGACTGATTAAATATGTACTATATATACATAAAGGTTTAGGTCTATATATACACACACACACACACACACTCACTCACTCTCTCTCTCTCTCTCCACACACACACACATATATGTGTTTAGGTCTATAAGAAACACCACTAAAAGCTTCTTCTGTAGTGATACATGCTAACTTATTTCCGAGGATTTGAACTTGCACCGTGAATGAATTTTTAGCTCCTGATTTCTCCTGCCACAGGCAGAAGACATTGCCCATCCCTCATTAAATGTGGGCAGAACAATCTTGTAGGAGAGATAACATGCATTTSAACTCGAGTTTTCCAATGCATATTTCATTCATCAGATAATACTGCAGAGAACCAAAATTGCACAGTGAGAGATATTTAATTCATTTTGAAGGCTAACAAAAACCTACAAGAGCAATAAGGTCTATACAAGCTGACACAATTGGAAATAAGAGCCCAGGAAGTAGGGAGAGATTTATTTTACAAAATAAACAGCTAACAAGTYCCTGCCTGTACAGATCTATTTTTCCCTCTGAACCCTCCAAATTTTGGTAATCTGTGTAGGCACCACTCTCTCCACAGATGCATCTAGAGGCGTGACATTATGCTTGGCACAGGCAAATCAAAAACTGCTGCCTCACCCACCCTGAGCTTATGCTGCCATCACCTCCCCTCCATCAGCACTATTGATGTAGCTGTAGGGTGAATTACCTACTCACCGCTCCACAGCKGCACAAGGACTACAATAATGAGGTGCTTAGCAGCTTATTTAAGATATTTCTTTCAGAGACAACTCTACCTGCTACTCCTGACAAAAGGAGAATCCATCCCATTCCCTTACTCCCCTCCCTTTCCACCTACTATTCTTTTCTAGTCCCCATTCAACCGRCTTTTCTATTTCTGTCTTTGACAGAAAGGCAGAGTGAGAAACAGCAACRTTTCTGCTATTCAAGTCTGAAGATAAGTCAGAAGCCAACTCCAAAGAGTCAGGAGGATCAATTGTCCACCCTCTGATTTAGCAGAGCGGCAAGTAGCAAAATAAAAATCCAYAGGGCTTGAGAAGATACTTTTACTGAACCAGGACACACAAACTTTTCTGTTATGGGGCTTCAAGGCCCCCAACACCCTATATTCTAGGAAGCCTCTCCTTTGGCCAAAGTGCCTGGGGATTGCCTTTTCTAAAAAAATAAAAATAAAAAAAAAAAAGGTTTTTTGCACAAACCATGAAGGTTCAGTCTTATTTTTAAGGGGGAAAAAAAAAAAAGCCTGCAGTTTCTACATGTGTGTCTGTACAATTCCATTCTTCTGAATCCTTAGTTTACCCAATATGAATCACCAAGTTTTGCATCCTTCCAGTTAATCCTGCTCCAAGTCCCTTGTTTCAGTAATTGTCTTCAGCTACTTGGAAGTTTAGATTCAAAGAAATTCCATCCAATAAAGTCAAGCAAGTGACTGTTCAACCTGAAGCAGTCATTTTCTTCCAGAGAAGTTTCATTGAGCGTTATTCYTAGAAGTAGTAACATGTTCTTCATCTTCTGTGTTTACTAAAGCTCTATAAAACCCTATAAAGACTGAGTAATGGACAGGCCAGTCTGCATTTACATTAAGGTGATACTTGTAACAGATCCCTTATAAAACAGCTTTAGGGCAATTTAAACTCAAAGTTATGGTCCAAAACCTGGAACGGGCGCTCATCTGTGTTGCAATGCTACTCAGCTCTGACACTATGCATCATCTTCTGGGAAAAGCAAATTACTTGAAATAACAACTCTTTCCTTCTTCAGCTTCGTATCAGATAAAAACATGTGCATGTATGAACAAAAGGTGAAAACAGCAACAGTACTTGTTGAGCCTTGCAGCGTGCAACCTGAACATACACATATATGCCCAGCAAATCAGGAACATAAGCAAAGAAACCTTTGAGATTTGCCACAAAATARGTAAATAAATAAATAAAAGCAAAGGACCTGGAGCTGTCTGATTACAACTCTCTTAGGCTGAGAAAAATTATCAGGGTTTTGGAGGTCAGACACTAAAAGACAAARTACAAAGATTGTCTGACTGCCTGTAAGTCATTTAATTCTGACAGCTTCAGATCAAGCCACGTCTTGAGATTTTAAGACTACCTGCCTGACATGCCACTAGACTTTTCTGCATTTTGGAGAACCTAAGCTATATATATACAAGGAGGAGACTAGGAATAAAAAAAAAAAAAAAAAAAAAAAAAGAATATTGGATTATTTAAAATAATTGTGATTATTGTAGTATTTTAGAGTTATATTCACAAAAATGTGTGTGTAGAGATAAAAAAATTTATATAAAAAAGGTTATCTTGAGAGATGGTTTATAGAGTTTGGGTATTCTTGTTTTCTCATATAACATTTAACCAGCTAATTTAGAAAGAAATTTTCAAAAAGATGACTCCCACAAGATCTGTATTTTGCTACACTACCAAGAATTTGCTTTCCAGACATTGGAAACAGCTACTCAAAGCTCACTACCCTCGGAAAAGCTCTGCCAACTATTTTAAAAACTTAAATTGCTGTTACTGATGGTGCTGTTTCTATCCTGTCCATTGTCTTTAATGGGATATTCAGATGTTCAGAATTTTGTAAGAATCAGGAGTCTTAAATGCATTTTTTTGGATCCCAAACCACCTAGTTTGAAAATCTTATGATTTTAAGCCAACTTAAAGAACCTTTATAAAGAAAGTATACCTCTTCTTGCATAATTGGTATCCATATCCTTAAAATGCACCATAACAAAATCCGAAGACTTGAACAAGATACTCTCTAGGATATCTTCACGTTTTGGCCCCAGACTGGATTCTGCAGTTTTCCTGTGTGCAGCATCAAGCACTAAATCACACTATTAAAAACATAAAAAGAGTACACTAATTTAATATACAAAAAGCTATTTGCTAGTTTCACATTCTTGCAGTGAGCAGATAAGAAAGCAAAAATTACCTTAGGACTGTAGGTTTTAAAAACTCCTTCATATATACCTCCGTTTTTCACCTGTACTTCACATTTGGATCCCTAGAATGCAAGAAACATATCATTTTCTATCAGTCTGGCAAATTAAATTTGAGCATTTTCCCCCAAAATGTATCTATCTTTACATAAGTACAGCGTATAAAAACATGGCTTGATTTTGAATTAAATCTATTTATTCAACATTTGTGCAGTCATAAATATGCTTCTGTGCTTTGCAGATGCACACAGCTGGGTGCACCAAAGTTTGTTCTGAAGGGATTTAAAGATACTCATAGAAATAGAAGCATTTTTGCTACATTGCTCTTCACCAGTTATATGCCTGGACAAGTTTTTTCAAGAACATAATCTGTGCATGTGCTGGTGCAAATAAGGAGGAAGGCTTAAACTGGATTCTAGCACAAGGAGGTGGGACAGTCCTGGTTACTTACTTTCAACATATCAGCATTTCCTTTAAAATTTAGGGAAGGAGGGATGCATGCCTTGTATACAGTCTGATTTTACTTATTCATAATCTCTCTAACAGTATAAAAGCTGAAATATGGCCAGCACATGCAAGAAATATGTCATATTTATTCACACACAGTTTGTAGCTCTTCTGTACTTTGGTTTATACAGCTATTACTGCAATTCTTTCAAAATTCAGCCTTGGCAGAAGATGCCTACCATTTAGTGTTTGCTCCATTACAATTAGCATAATATTTTACTATTCTATCTCACTATAAAAACTGTTTACCCTCCTGCCAAACATGAAGACTTACAACAACTGATGTAAGTATGTGAACCATTCTCATGTTTGCATAGATGCCATCAAAAGAAATCTGAAAAATAAAAATGATTCTGTCAGGAAGCAGATATATTTCACTGTAACAACTCAAAAAGGCAATGCTTCAAGAACAATGACTTTTTTCTTTTTCTGCACACACTTGTTCCTAGAAATGCAGTTGGACGAGACTTTACTCTGATAGCGTGCACTGAATTTAAGTCACTCTAAGGCCCTTACCCTTTCCATTAATCACTTAATCCGTACACTGAACAACACCCTCCCAAATAACACCAAGCTTACCCATCCCAAATGTCGCTCATCAAGGAAATGCCCTTGCTGGTTAGGTGAAGTTCATACACAGACACTCACAACTGAAAAGACCTTTCTATCATTTCTACTGTGTTTCAGAACTATAAATGGGTAATGTACTTCAATGGTTGTAGAAATAAAAAGTGCCTTAATGGCACGATGAATTACATGATCTCAGGAATTAGCTAACGGTCCTGATTACACTCATTAACAGAGGGTAACAAATCATGAAGTGCCAAAGAAAAATATACCATAAAATTAGTCAAAACTAAATTCACAGTAGTACTGGAATCTGAGACCCTACACTAGAAAAGCTGACCATCTGCTGCTGAGATTGCTAGGTAAGTTTGCGTGAGTTATCACATGAGGTGATAAGGATGTTGGATTCTTGCAACTTCTCTCACCTTTCCCATTCAACTTCATGATTATGAACTAGCAGATGCTGAAAAAATGGAAGTACTCCATCCTAAGTGGGCTTTTTAACTAGTGATTTCTCTTCTGAACTCTGTAAGCTTTTTAATCCACTTATGCCTGCAGGTTAACCACACATTCTGTAACCACTGCTCTGAAAAGACATGTTTAAAGATGCTCAATACTCAGTCTGGAGGATGTAAAAACTCCAGCACTAACACAACAGTCATCACTTGCACCTGACCTCTCTTTTCCACCCCTCTCCCCTYTAACATCTTTTCAGTGGCTGTGAAGAGACTTAAGAGAGATCTATGAAAGTAAACTACAGTCATTCTTGATGTTCCTATTCTTGCCCTGTTCCCCAGATAAGCCATTCCCAAAAAAACAGTGCACAAATTTACAAAGACTTGGTTTGTACGGTTCAAAGATACATTCTTTAAATTGAGAACCAAGGTTTTGATAAAATTTTGTTCACAAGTTATCCCACATCTACACTTTAACACTGTATAACCTTGACAATAACTAAAACCATACAGCCAGACCATTGAGAACCCTGGGCCAGCTGTTTCATAGCAAGACTCATTTGTTACTTTTCTTCAATCAAATGCTTTCTTACATCAAATGCTTTCTTACTCTTTTGTCATTTGCTTAATGAAAAGGCCAATGTTACAGTCTTCAGATAAGACAATGCTTTTGAATTTGCTCCTATTTGTTCCCAAGTTAAATTTCACCCACCCATCTACAGCTGTAACTTAGATCCAGTACAGATCTATGTTTCCATAGTTCAAGTGTTTACGGGTCCTTTCTCCACACAAAATGCTAAATTAAATGAATGCAAGATAATGCATCTTCAAAAAAGCATGTCTCTGAAAGTCCAAGATACTCATCATGGTATTCAAAACCTGACAAAATAACCCACTATCTGCTATTCTTATACTGATATTTAGAGTCACTGCAGGCAAGTGGTGTCCTCATACCTCAAAGTGCCACAATGAAAAAAGACATACTTACTGTAGGCTGAGGTGGTCCTTTGCCACTGCTCCGACCTCTGAAATTAAATTTATACATCAGATGCAATTAAAAAAAATAGAATTGCTGAAATTAACCAATTCTGTAACAAATAAGAGTTCAAAAACCCATTCTTATTTAGTACTGAGAGCAGAATCGAAGAAAAAGAAGTACTGTAGAGTAGAAATTTATGTGGTTACAGTCCCCGTCTTGACATTTATCTCCCTAAATGTTTGCCTACAAGGGGTGTTCTTTAACAGGTAAGAGGGGATACCTGTAGTAAATCAAAGAACAAAAATGAAGAAAATCCTAAAACCATATCTTCACAAAGATCTAAAAAGTATATTGCCTCTTTAGAACTCCCACACTAGTTGGCATGTAAAGAAAACCAAAATGACTGAATTTGCATTTTCAAGCTGAATCTATGGTACAGAATCACTAATTTAAAACTAGAGGATTCATATATTGTCATTGCCATTAAGATTACACGTTATCATTGTCATTACACAACTAACTGACCCATGCTAGAAACTGTGCAGCCAACCTCTGGCGCTCCAATACCACTGCTATCAGAACCCAACATGTTAATTTACCTAAGCCTGTCCATCCCTCAAAAACAGTCATAATTTTAAAATGCAAATCACTCAGTGCTTAGCATTTAGGTCATGCAAAGGTTTTTTAACGTGTATGTTCCCAATAGTTTGCAAACAAGACGGAAGGGCCTGCASTACAGTGATTTAAATCCCAATGTCCCTGCAGCGGCGGTGCCTCCAATACACAGGTGCACCTTATCTCAGAGCTATTTGTCTGCACTGAGGAGTCCTCATTTGGACACAAAATTAAGACATATGATATTAAAAATTACATAAACTGTGAAAAAAAAGGAGCACTAGATTTTTTTTACCATGATAAGCACATTAATATAACCAGCTTCCCTAAAGAAAGTGATACTTGAAAGAGAAATTATACAGGCATGGTCAGATTCGATTCAGATTTATATCATGAGAATGACCTTAAGAGCTCACACTGCAAGTAAGACAAAATGAAGTCTTTGTGTTTATTAAAAGAACAGTTTTTTGAAATAGACCTACTGCACAGGGGCACGTATTTAACTGAAGAGATGCAAAGAATCACATTTATGTTTCAAAATATCCAGACACCAAAAACTGAAAAGTTAATTGCATTCAATTGCCTTTGAAAACACTATGCTGCATTTGAATACAACCTCACCCTCAAAGCAACATCCAATATGGCTCAAGAGCTGGCCCAAAAATCAAAGGAACTACAGAATATCCCCCAACATGAATATCCCTCAGACATATTTTGCAGAAATAAGGCAGCAAATTTATCAGAGAACCATGAAAGTGTTTAAAGAAGAAAAAATAAAAAAACTGACCTATCATCTATCTAGATTAAGAAAACAAGCTTCTGAAACAGGAACTTAAGTGTTCCTATACAGGATCACATATAGTTATGATAATTGCTGACTAGTAAAAACTGCAAATTTCAGATGTCTAGCTGATACTTTTAGAGTACTTGCAGAGCACTAATCTAACTAAATATATACATTCACATATGCGTGTGCATACATGTGTTTTATATATATAAACCATTTCACCTTGGCTCAAGGCAATTTGACCTTGTCTTTCCAGAATCCCAGAAAAAGAAGCTACAGTTCAGCTCCAATTTTTTTTCTTTTATCATAACCAAAGGATTCAAGAAGACACAGTCTTTCAAGAAAACACTGACAGTCGCACCAGCATTCCTCTATTGGGCTCAGACATTTTAGTAAGATACTCCAGATATTGATCAACCCCAAGTGAAACATTTTGGTGTCTTCTAGATARCAAACACTACCATTTTTAGTGATGAGAATTCTTGAAGCTTAAATAACTGCAGTGCTAGACTGGTCAGGAAGCTTGCAGTACTTCTCCTGAGCATTTAATCTGTAGTACTCTAGATTTTTCATCTCCTAACACCTTTCCAAAGTCACCGTTTTTACCCACATAYAATCATCTAAGCTTCCCTGCATCCACACTGGCAAACGATGGCAAGTTGTGATCAGTCCAAGGGTTAAGATGCTTACTGAAGTTCTATATGACACACTAATCTACCAGATCTCTTTGCAGACCTCAGGTCTTATTTCCTTGCTATAAGTATTAAATACAAACACTAAAAGGAAGATGCTTACCAGGATTTTAACTAATTCTGCCAACACTACAATACAATCAAAGACACACAACTATGCTAAAGCCAAGACCATCAACTTGAGATTTTTATTCCAACAGATGAAGACTTAAGTTCAGGGCACATCCTTTTTTGGCACATCCTGGATGATAAAACAGATAAAAGACCAACTAGGACCTTTACAGAAGTAGAAGGTAAACTTTTTCTGATGAAGACTGTCTATCACAACTTAAACAGGAGAATAATACTTCAAAATTAAGAGGGGAGAAAAAGGGGTTGTAGCAAAATGAGAATTCCATTCCRGAGTTTCAGGGTAGAGAAGTCAGGGTAGGGACAGCAGACAATACTGTTTGCCCAAGTAATTAATCTTGGTAGTCAAATCACCGCAGCTTAGTACTTCTATTTCAAGAGTGAAAGTCTAACATTTTCCTCCAATATCAACCTGCTTTTCTTTTTTTTCCTAGTTTTATGAACATTTATTACTCTGCTTCTCAACATCCCATCCCTTCCATTCTAATGTTTACATGCTGAATAGAGTGTTTGCATAAGCAAAACGAGGTCATGCTTTCATTTAGTAAAAACTAAAGCAAGGAATGCAAGTCTTTCCAGGTTGCGAAAGGTCTTTGGTTTTCTCTCCAACAGCATCTTCACTTTGAGACCAAGAGAGAGAAGCATCCACACTGCTACTAATGGAGATGACCATAGCCTAAAGCGAACGTGGAACTACAGAGAGCGCCGAATTTAACAGAGCAAATAGATGCTTCTGGACTACTGACTGGCATTACTACAGCTTTGAAAACAATTTACTAGGGAACTTTCACTAGGGACTAGGGAACTTCCACTATTAGGAGCAGAATTTCTCTATGTAACACTCAATTGAAGTCAAGTTGTCAAATTAGATCATACAAGAAGTTCTGCAGCACAGTTTTCAGGAGTTTTTCCCTATATTGAGACTAGTAATGTGGGTTCTTATCTTCTTACAAGATGCCARCTTTTCTAACCAGGTAAGTATACCTGAATCAAGCTTGACTGAGTGCACACTGGAGCCTGCTAACAGAATTAGCCCCTGCAGAACCTTCTTCAGCAAGRTTGCTGCAGTTGTTGGGTAAGTACTATCATACAAAATGCCAAAAAAAGGGGAAAAAATAAAAAGGCCAAAACATTAATTTAAGAAAGATATCTGCAGGTTATCTGTTAATTTTGCTCAATGGTTTAACACAACTGCATCAAAGTTGTTATTATTTAACAACTGGATGTAACATTGAACTGTTATAAACCTGGACATCCAATAAGCTTACATATAAGACCCCCTCAAAAGAAGTCTGCTATACAAATAGCTTTTGTGGTTTCAATATGATAAAAAACTCAACTGACAGGAAAAAAAAAATAGTCTTCTTCCTTTAAGACTCTGAAATAGCAAAACAGAAGTTATTTATTGAATTCAGGTACMTACCTCATCAAGAGCCTAAAATTAACTCTACTCAGAAATTTTAAAGACAACAAATAGTTTTGTAAATAAAGAATCTGCCGATATTTCTTCTTTACAGAAGCATATACTATGCAAGTCAGAGGTATGCGTCCAATACAAGACACATCAAGGGAATAGTCTCCATTTTCAGGAATTGCTKTCCAAGAGGCTGTCCCAGAATGAACTAGAAATTTGCTCTGAATGACAGGTGCCCCGATCTCCAGAACAGTCCCTTTCATCATTTCAGGGAGCCTTGATACTTGCTATTTCCAATTAGTTCTGTCTGAGCAGAATGGACACCTTTCTTCTGCCCCTTATTTAAGCCTTTTAGTTAGTCTAATAAAAAAGGTTGTTGAGGACAATGAAGATAGGAGTAGGTAATAAGCATCAAATCTCCAAAGGAAGGTGCATAACAGCAACAATTTCAGTTTTAACATGTTAATAGATAGAGCAATTTATAAGAGTAATTTATAGTATTTTTGAAGGATTCTCAGGTCCAATTAGGCAAGAAAGTTACAAGAGTGAGGGGAAAAGACCTTATGTCACAATTGTAACCACATATGTAACCATCCAARACCTTGTCCCGAGTTGTCTTGCCTTCAGACAAAATACCAATGGGAAAATATTGATAATAAAGAAGGATGCACTGCTTGGAGGAATACTAAGATAGATGCACCTTTCAATCACAGAGCAGTTAACCCAGCTAAGCCTTCTGTGCTTGGATTTGGGTAGATCTGAACTAAACACTAGAAGTAGATATTAGATAATGTTTTGACTAGAAGAGTGCAGTAGGTTCATACATGAAGTGTGTTTTTTCTACCATTACAGTTTAACATGCTACTGGCAGCCCCTACAACCCGATTCTCCATCTGCCATATTCCACGTGCAGCTACTACTAGGTAAATAGCATTTCACTGAGTGTCTGTTTACAAAAGAGTTAATCATCTTCCTCATTCTTCATAAAAAAGACTTTTAAAGATATTTTCAGTTTTGATTTTTTTCACCCTAATACCAAAGGAAGGATAATATAATGAAAGCATAAACACTGGAATTTCCTATTCACCCACACAGGATTTTGACGTTTCTAGAAAGAAAAACATATATTAATCATGACAAGATGCTGCAAACCAGCAGTGAACAAGCAAAGCTGACCTTCCTGCTGGCCATCAGGTGCAGATGGACCAGGTGCTCAGCATCATTAAATCTAACAGTAATGAGCATATATCATAAAATTAAGTCTTGGACAGTTTGCTGGCAATGGAATTTCTACTCAAATTTAAACTTTTAAGAGAAATTTAGACCCCCCCCCCTCCCCAAAAAAGAAATATGGCTTTGCATTTCAAGGAAATGAGAAAAACCTAGCGCTGCAAAAGTACTAAGAGGCCTGACATAAAYTGGAGATGCTTATTCAAGTTTCTATTAAACAAAATACATCTAAAATTGAAACCAAGATGCAGAACACCTAAAATCCAATCGAGATTCCRTTTTATTTTTCACTTGAGCCATATATGAACCAATTTCTTTCGGCAAAAGCACTCTTTAAATCTGTACTACAAAAACAGATGAAGGCTCTTTAGGGAAGTGACAGGAGGACTTCTCTGAAGGTGTTTCCCCTTGGAGCTCTGTCAGCTCCAAGACTGGGTTTTACAGACCCTCCATACAGAAACTGCTTGAAGATCTGGACAACAAAGAACTATGTGCAACCACCTTTGAGGGAACGTGTTGGTTCCTAAAAAGTTTTGAAGAAGAAACTGCCAGGAAAAAAAAAAAATAAGGATAAAAAAAATTCTCCGCCAAGGGTTGCCTAAAAGCTTTATTTTTAACTTGACAAAGAACCCAAAGGTTGTGTTCTTTAATCTGTAAAGACAAGTGCTCACAAATAAACTGAAATTTCAGAAAAAGATGGTATAGGTTTTTGTGTCCTTCATGTTAACCTCTATGGTGCCACTGTGTTGGCAAGGAGAACTGTTTAGCACAGAACAGCAAACATGAAAGGTCCAAACTAGACACTTAGGTATAAAGAAAAGTGTTAAATCATTTCAATGAAGTACTGAAAGTATCAGCTTTTTTTTTTTTTAAGTTTATTTTGTTCTTTTTCCGCCCTACTAAAGCTTTTCCACTTCCAGTCCCACAGACTGGCAACAAAGTAAACCCCTATTTTTCATGGATGTCCAACAACGGGACCACAGTATATTCTGTTTCACTGCCAATGCACAAAACTGAGTAAGGGCATAAGAGGGGGGTTAAAGAGCAAAAAAATAATGACTAAAACTCCAAATGAAACTGCTCTGGGAGGCTATGACCTTCAACACTGTTACCATCTAGCTCTGCCTTTTTGTTATGACCTGGAGTGCTAAAATACCCTAGTAATACACAAAAGCCTGGAGAGGTTTTTTTCCCCTCCGTTCTTCCTTCCTTCCCTCTAAAACACGTTAATTTTTATAACACCAGTGCTCCTGGACGAGGAACGTGAGCAGCCACAATATTCCGGAGGCAGGAGACAGCCAGGCCTCAGGAGCTTGCATGAGAGGGAGGGAGGGATGGGAGAAGGGGAATCCGAAGCCCTGATTCCTGACACTCCTCCCCCCAAAAAAGGTGAAAATATAAATAAATATATATATATATATAGTGTTTGGATGACGCGTACAGTGTATACCACTGAAATCCATCCGTAATGCCAAGCGGCGCTCCGAGCGCTCTGCAGGGGCTCTGCACCATATTTTATTGAGATTTCACCCAAAATATATATATAAATATATCATTTTTTTTTCTTTATATCAACGCTGTCAGCTGAAGGTTCTCTCGAACGGCAGACGTTTGCAGACTTTTAATTGTGGACGTGTTCCCCCCCTCGGTAAAAGACCCCCCGCCCCGGGGGGGTAAAGCCCGCGGGAGCCCCCCCCGTGCCGGGCCCCTTCCCGCCCGCGGCGGCTGCGCCCCGAGCACGTGCGGCCGCCCCCCCCCCGCCCCCGCCGCAGGGGGCCCCGCGGGGGCCTCGTCCCGGGGCTGCGCAG